TGTAAATATATCCAAAGAGAGTGGATCCCAGTATCAAAATAGACAATATTTTCTTCACACAGTTTAACCATTTTGTGCCTCAATGCGAAATTCTCCTCAAAAATGTATCATTCGAGGATAATATAAAGACGAGATTATTCATTAAAATGAAGGATGAACTACATGGTTATTGGTTTTAAAAGTTTTGATAAAGCTACAACCTCATAAATTTCATAAGATTGATCAAATTGTTAAAGTGAAATAAATGTCAACACTATAGCTTTCTCTAACTGTAAATACAACATTAAAGTTAGAAATGTCAACACTAGCTTACTCTAACTGCAAATATGACATTAATAGAATTAAATATGTCAACACTAGCTTTCTATAACTGTAAATATAACATTAATAAAGTGAAATAAATGTCAACACTATAGCTTTCTCTAACTGTAAATACAACATTAAAGTTAGAAATGTCAACACTAGCTTACTCTAACTGCAAATATTACATTAATAGAATTAAATATGTCAACACTAGCTTTCTATAACTGTAAATATAACATTAATAAAGTGAAATAAATGTCAACACTATAGCTTTCTCTAACTGTAAATACAACATTAAAGTTAGAAATGTCAACACTAGCTTACTCTAACTGCAAATATGACATTAATAGAATTAAATATGTCAACACTAGCTTTCTATAACTGTAAATATAACATTAATAGAGTTAAATAAATGTCAACACCAGTTGTCTTATAATATAACATTAATAGAGTTAGATTTGTTAACACTAGCTTTCTGTAACTCTAAAGACAACATTATTAGAGTAAGAAAAGTTAACACTAGCTTTCTCTAACTGTAAATATAACATTAATAAAGTTTAATGAATATCAACACTAACTTTCTCTAACTGTAAATATGACATAAATAGAGTTAGATATGTGAACACTAGCTTTCTCTAACTGTAAATACAACATTATTAGAGTTAGATAAGTTAACACTAGCTTTCTCTAACTGTAAATATAACATTAACAAAGTTTAATGAATATCAACACTAACTTTCTCTAACTGTAAATATGACATAAATAGAGTTAGATATGTGAACACTAGCTTTCTCTAACTGTAAATACAACATTATTAGAGTTAGATAAGTTAACACTAGCTTTCTCTAACTGTAAATATAACATTAATAAAGTTTAATGAATATCAACACTAACTTTCTCTAACTGTAAATAAAACATAAAAAGAGTTACATATGTCAACACTAGCTTTCTTTAACTGTAAATATATCCAAAGAGAGTGGATCCCAGTATCAAAATAGACAATATTTTCTTCACACAGTTTAACCATTTTGTGCCTCAATGCGAAATTCTCCTAAAAAATGTATCATTCGAGGATAATATAAAGACGAGATTATTCATTATAATGAAGGATGAACTACATGGTTATTGGTTTTAAAAGTTTTGATAAAGCTACAACCTCATAAATTTCATAAGATTGTTCAAATTGTAGTTGGTCGGTTTGTACAATTTTTATAGATTCGGTCGATTTGTCCCATTTTGTAAATGATAAGCAAACGGCCACTTACGATATCATCTAACTGCAAACAAACTGGATCGCCATCTCTACCAAATCTCAAAACTAAAACAATGTCCTCTGTAGATTTTATAACTTCATCAACTTCATTTTTATTAAAAAGCTTCTTCAAAACATAACTCATTTCTCTTGCGACTCTCCCTTTCACTTTGTGTGTATGTATAGCTGTGTTCTTCCAAACAATAGTTTTGCGGTAAGGTTGTTATGTTATCGCAATCGTCTTTACAATCGCGTCTTTATCAAGTTCAAGTCGACCACGGAAAATTTATACAAGGTATTTCGACCAATTTTTTTAGTCGACCACGTAAAATTATATTTATATTAAACAATCGCTATTTGTTTGCGCTCAATTTCTGGTAAAATTTGGCTATACTTTAAGCTAAAATGTATTACACAGTCAAGTAACCTAATTTCGTGCTAACCTATTTTTCGTGCGTCTCCGGGAATGATTAATAATTGACATGTGCGACATCGCGCGACCTCCGCATTTGTTGTTTTGATAAACATGGGTTATCTGTACAATTTCAGCCACTAGAATGAATCCAGTAATGGCGGATTTCAGTTAGGTTACACCACTGTATATTTATAATCCCAATCTAGCTGTAATGCTAGAATGTAGTCAAATGAACAAAGTCACGTGATAAACTAGCGGATTCCGTGTCAGCAGAAAAATTCTATCGAACACAAGGGGCCATATTCTTATGTTGTTTCAATGACTTTTAGCAATAGATCATAAAATCATTATATTTTGAAGGAATTGTCATATACTCTGTGATATATAGAAAAGACATATATATATAGAAATAGTACGAGTAAAATTCCTAGTTTGAGATATTTTTGCAGGAATAATGCAGTGGTGTAACCTATTTTCGTGGATATAAGGATTCAACACCAAATTTCGTCAAAGTTAAAAAAACGAAGAAAAAAAATTTTATGTCTTAGATGTTTCCTCAGATATTCTTCAAAATAATACAAATTGGTTTCTTTCCATTTTCTTTATGAATCCTTCACTTTGACCATATTTCATGAGCAACCAACTCGGCAACGGCGGCAGAATGCGTCACCTATTTTCGTGTACAATGTTTGATCTATAAATAAGTCGAAAAAAACACGTTGTATGGATACCGGGTGGTATAATTAACTTCTCTTAGTATTTATCTTTAATATCAATTCATTATACCTAGAGACAATTCCTTCAAAGAACCACGATTTAAAAAAAAAATAGAGACTGACAAAATATGATACGTAGCGTGATTTATTGCTAAAAGTCACTGAAACAACATAAGAATATGGTCCACTTTGTGTTCCATAGAAATTTTCTGCTGAGACATAATCCGCTAGTTGATCACGTGACTTCATTCGTTGGAATATATTCTAGCAGACGACACTTGGAATTCCGATTACCGTTTGGGATTATAAGGAAATTCGGCCGATAAAAAATGGTGACGTTTGGTAATAAGTGAAATCCGCCATTTTGTATTTGTCAAAATATACATTAATACAGTTTACCTTGCTTGAAAATACTGGATTCATTCTACTAGCCGATATTGTAGAGATAACCCATGTTTATTAAAACAAACTAATGCGGAGGTCGCGCAAGGTCGCTCATGTAAATTATTAATCCTTTCCGGAAATCCACGAATAATAGGTTTCCACGAAATTAGGTTACTCGACTGTGCAGTTTTCGTACATTTCTAGTACTTCTGAAGACAATTTACATCTTTCAAGAATCAAGACCGGCGCCTCCGTCCCTTTAAAATTCAGTGGTAGTAAGTGCGCTTCCCTCACACCGGTGAAATTAAAATGAAATGAAATGAATGGAGTGTTACGCCCTACTATTCTGCACCATATGTGCTAATGAATATGAAGCAATGCCATGCATGGTACAATGAGGAAAAATTTGCCCGGACAGTGGCATAAGCCTGCTGTTTTTTTTATTTCCCTCTTAAGACTGGTGCTCCTGTCCCTATAAAATTGAGTGGAAGTAACTCAAATAAATCAGCTCCCCTCACACCATTGTGAAATTCAAATGAAATGAATGGAGTATTACGTTCTACTATTCTGCACCATATGGGCTAATGAAGACGGAGCAATGCCTTGCATTAGCCCGCTTTTTTTTATTTCCATTTCGCGAGATCTTTAATTTGCAAAGCTTGTAGAACACAGGCCTCAGTTTTTGTCCCATCTGAACGACTAGATGCTTTTTCGATGTCAGCCCCTCTTACCTGCATCACTGACAGGGGGAAATTGGGTTGAAAAATCCAAAGGTTTCATGCAAGAAAATGTCTAACTCATTGAGCCACCCCGGATACGACACCATAGTGATCATCACTTGTATTGGGTTGTAACAAAGAATAGTGATCATAGATTTCGAACTCAACTTACATGCAACTAATAGAGCACTCACACCATATTGTGTATGCTGAAATCTACCAGATATTGCGAGATCATAACTTTAGTTGCTAGGTCTAATAGGATGCAAATTATTCAAATGTTGATTTTGCATGTTTAAAATTTAGATATATTTTACACACACAACTCATGGGTTTCAGAATACTGAACAAGGCTTACTGTAAGTAACCTTTAAGATATGAACATTTTCTTGAAATATATAAAGATATGGCTATTTATTGATTTTGATTATCATCTTCTTCACTAATGCAAATTAAGTCAATAATTTTTTCCTCGACACATTACGGATTATGTTTATTCATTCAACATCCCTATGTAAAGGTGAGCAACCTTTAAATATCATAGATACAACACCCAAAAGACAGATGTACAACTAATCTTTCATAAAACCAGCTTTATATTTTACTTTTAGCTGGAAAAAAACTGACATGTTAACTTTGCCTTTGTGCATCATGGTTGCAAAAGCGACTGAATATTTCTATTGGAAAAAGAAAAATGTTCTAAAATGTAAGTCTGTACACAGCAGATGGTTTACCACGAGGTTTTTTAATATCATATTCAATAGGTTTTTTTGGAGGGTTGATTTTTCTTCCATGATAGCCATCTTTTTTCTGATAATAACCACTATTAGGACGTTTCCCAAACCATCTATTTCTACCTGCAGATCCAATAGGTTTTTTAGCTTGACCCACATTAGATACACGACCTACAGTAGCAACACAATTTACTGATATTACCATTTCACGTTTTGATGGCATGGCAATTATTGACTGTTCTGGTAATTGTCTTATGATTTGTCCACAACTTCCTGCAGCACGAGATACTCTACCACCTAGTCCAGCATATCTCTCTATATTATGAACAATGGTACCAATAGGAAGGGCACCAACAGGATAAGCATTTCCATCTACTGGTTTGACTGAAATGAAAACATAGCTAATTATTTTACACCAATATTATTTCTTGGTTTTAAACGGTACATATATTCATAAAAAAATTGGTTTTCTCTTTATAATGAGGTGATTTACTATCAGGAAATTTTGTTCTTTTGCCTTCTTGGTATGAAGAGAAGTGAATTCATCAAAAAAATTGTTAAAAGGTTTCTAAGAGTTAAAATGTATCAAAGAGTTACTGTCAACATTCAAAATGTGATCAATTACAAATTGAAGGTTTTTTTAAAATAAAATAATGATATTTGAAATATTTGATATACCTATAACACCAGATAGTTTATTAGTTGATTCAATAAGGTCTCCTGCCTTCATATTTTCCGAAGCAAGAATATATCGAGCTTTCTCTCCACATGCCACAACAGCAATATCAGCTGTACGACATGGATCATATCTCACAGCTAATACTTTCTCTACTAATGTACTACCATCTTCTTTACCATGTCTCTTAAAATCAATTTGTCTTAAACGTTGTTTATGTCCTCCACCATGACCATGAACAGCAATAGCACCTACAATTAGTTACAAACAATGGCAACCATATTTTCTTCAATACACAATTAATTCATTATTAAATCTGTAAGCAACGTCTGAAAATACATTGTGAAGCTTACACCTGATCAAGTATCACCCTGCCACAGACCGGCCACACCCTGCTATACATGTTGCAAAGTTTCAACTAAAACCATTCTTACCATCAGGTCCCCTTCCACCAGTTTTATGTAACCTAACAGGATGTAACGAATATTTCTTTATTTTTACTTGAGGGTTAACATATCTAACACTGATAGTTGAAGTAGGTGGGGTTAACCTGGAACCTCTCTTATACTGTTTAAATTTACTACCATATGCTTTGAACCTTAATAAAACAAAATACAAACTAAAGCAGGCAGAATGTTACTGAAGGAAGAACGTTACTGAAGCAGTGTGTATCCAACTGATTACATCCATCATATAATTACATACAACATTTGTAGTTCAAAAACTTGATTTACTCAAGACACATTCTACTTTTTCACTAGGAAGAAATATGACTATGAAATATATAAACATAATATAAGAAATATGAGTTGATTTTTCAGTAACACTTATTGCTTCCAATGGTTCCATTCCTATTTCCTGCTTGAAAGTTTCTGTTATTCCATAAACAATTGGTCCTTGATCACTATCACAAATAGTGAAATATCATTTCAAAATTCAAACCCCAGAATAACTCACCTTTGAGTAACCACACATGGATTTTCAATCTTTAATAACCCAAAACTTTTAACCAAATTATTAATCATAGATGCTGCCATAACTATTTTATCACTTTCACAGGTAGGCTACCTACTCAATACCGTACATATATCTTTCTTAAATGAACTTATATAATCTTTCTTTTGGTTGAAATAACATAGTTCGATTTATCTATAACTTTATCTAATAAGTTAAAAAGAAAATAAGTCAAAATTCAAATTGTATACTGTCATTTAAATTTCCATAAAACTGAGACTAGTTTTTCTGTCTCTACACCAACTTTCAAAATAGCTATTATGGAGGCTGGAAGTAATTCTATGGGAATAGACAATAATAATTACGGCAGAGGATATTCGCCAACCCGGGTGGCAAACATTTATTCGCCACCCTCATTTTTTTTTGCCACCCGTTTTTAAAACTTTAATTTCTCTGAAGACTGACATTATTAGCTGTTAAGGCTATAGCGTTACATGCATTATAATGTTTTTTTAAGTTCATTAGAAACGCTTATTTGCAATTCCTTTCAAGAAAATGTACGAAAATAACACCTACTTATAATTGATAATCGCTGTCCCATTGGATGGCTATTTATAGTCAACCGGTGTTAAGTCAATTTGGTCACCACTTTTTTGAATCATTTCTATGAAATTTAGTCTCAATATTTATGTCACCTACAAACCTCGCGTGGCTCTGCATTTTTTTTTTTTTTTTTGAGGCCCGGAAGCATTTTTTCTTGACATTTTCCGGCGGATTTAAGGATTTTTTATATAGTGTGTAGGAGATCCCACCCTTTTAAGATTTTTAGAATCGGATTCCCAAAAACGCGAATTCCCGACATTCCCTATTAGTTTAAGAAAGCTGGAGCAAAAGCTGAGGGTGGTAAAAAAGACTTTAGGGTGGTTAACAAGACTTTAGGGTGGTTAACAAGAATTGTCGGTGGTAAACAATATGTGAGGTTGGTGAACAAGCGCTGGAAGTGGTAAACAAGAACTGCGGGTGGTGAACAGGAACGGAGGGTGGTAAACTAGACCTACGAGTGGTAAAGAAAGACCGAGGGTGGTAAACAAGAGCTGAGGACAGTAAATAAGATTTTTGGGTAGTAAACGGGAGCTGGGTTAATGAATAACATCTAGGGTGGTAAAAGAGAGCCGAGAGTGGTTAACAAAATTCGAGAGTGGTTAACAACAACAAGAGCTTCGGCTGGTGAAGAAGAGCTTAAGGTGGTAAACAAAAACCGAGGGTAGCGAACAAGAGCTGACGGTGGTAAACAAGAATAGGTTGGTAAACAAGAATTGTGGCTGTTAAACTAGACCTACGGGTGGTAAACAACAGCTAGGGTGGTAAAAATAACCCAGGGTGGTGAACAAAAGCTAAGGGTGGTAAACAAGAGCTGGGGATGGTGAACAACAACTAAGTAGGTGAACAAGAGCTTAGGGTGATAAACACGAATTGTCGGTGTTACACAAGTATTGTGGGTGGTGAACAAGACCTGGGGGTGGTGAACAACAGCTATGTTAATGAAACAAGAGCTGAGTGTGGTAAACAAGAATTATGAGTGGTAAACAAGTGTTGAGGGTGGTAAACAAGTATCGAGGGTGGTAAACAACAGCTAGGTTAATGAAAAACAACTAGGGTGGTAACAAAGAGTTGGGGTGGTAAACACAAACTAAAGGTGGTATACAAGAAATGATGGCGGTGAACAACAGGTAGGGTGGTGAACAAGAGCTGAGGGTGGTTACCAAGAACCCAGGGTGGTGAACAGGAGCTTGGTTTGTTAAACAAAAACCGAGGGTAGTGAACAACTACTAGGACCGTGAACAAGAGCTTATGGTGGACAAGAGTTTAGGGTGGTAAATAAGAATTGTGGGTGGTTAACGGGAACAAGTATTTTGGATGGTAAACAAGAGCTGGGGTGGTAAACAGGAATTGTTGGTGGTTAACAAGAACTTACTTCCTTCAGCTCTTGTTTACCATCCCCAATTCTTGTTTACCACCCTTACACATTACTTACCACCCGTTAGTATTGTGTATTACCGTACGCCTTATTACCACCCGTCAGTATGGTTTATTATCGTACGCCTTATTACCACCCTTGCACATTTACTTACCACCTGTCAGTATGGTTTATTATCGTACGCCTTATTACCACCCTTACACATTACTTACCACCCGTCAGTATTGTGTATTACCGTACGCCTTATTACCACCCTTACACATTACTTACCACCCGTCAGTATGGTTTATTATCGTACGCCTTATTACCACCCGTACACATTACTTACCACTCGTCAGTATTGTGGATTATCGTACGCCTTATTATACCTTAAACCTTCTTACTTCAAATACATATTTCCACCCACCCCAATGCAGTGTATTTACCACCCACATACATTACTTACACATTCGCGATGGCTCCAACCATGGATTGATATTCTTTGGATTTTTCAACTCGATTTCCCCTTGTCGATGTTTGGGATCGGAGAGGCTTACTTGGAAAATACGTCTAGGATAAATGTGACACAATTTGGACACGTGCCTGCTTTGTCTTTTTTTTTACCATTTACACATCTTCATCAACCTTTTTTTTACTTACGTAAAGATCCCCCAACAGTTGGAAATCGAAAATAAGAGTAGGCTAATGTCGCTGTCCTGACAAAATTTCACTCATTGCACACTGCATGGCGTTTGCCCATCCTCAGAAGCCCATACAGGTGCAGAAATAGGACATAAAACTTTATTTTACTTCATTTTTTTTTTCTACGGATTTCTTATACAAACGTATGATGCTAAATTTCATAGCAACACTATCAGGACCATTTGAGATGTATGCTAATTTGGTGTAAACAAAATGGCGGAATTTCTACTTTCGTTTCATTGCAAGAAATTCAATTTATATTAACACGATCTTGTCTGAACCTGACAAAATCCATTACAAATTACTCAGAGTTGACTAATATGTCACTGAAAGAAACAATTATATCAAAAAGGCTGACATTTCATGAATTTTTAGAGATTTTTTCTGCCACCCGGATGGCAAATAGTCAAATAAATGGACGTGGACCTGGGTGGCGAATATCCACGGCCAATAATTACACTGGTGTAACCTATATTTGTGCATTTAAGGATTCAACACCAAATTTAGCAGCTGATGAACTTTTCACATGAGGAAGTACAGTAAAGTAACCTAATTTCGTGCATCTCCGCAAATAATTTACAGGTGCAAATCGCTTGACCTTCGCATTTGCTTGTTTTGATAAACATGGGTTATTTGTACAATGTCAGCTAGCCTGATGAATCTAGTAGTTTCAAGCAAGGTAAAATGTAGAATATCTGAGGAAACATCTGAGACATAAAAAAGAAATTCTGTATTTTTAAATTTGATGAAATTCGGTGTTGAATCCTTATATGCACGAAAATAGGTTACACCAGAGAGTATATACTCTCTGGTTACACCACTGTATATCAACCAAGTTAGCAAGTCTTTCATTCATAGCAATATCCATGAAAGAAGATTAATTTGATTTATTTGATAAAGTAACGATAGTCACCTTCACTTTTTCATGGGCGCAGCCATCTTGCCTTGCAGTCATGAGTAGCTTTTTGTATAAATAAGTAAAAAGAAATAATCTGCAATATAAAATAGTTCCATTTTTTAAATTATTTTTGTTTATTTTGTTTTAATTGAATTAAAAACATATTTGACAAATTTCGGTTGATTGAGGTGCGAAAAATTTTGAGAGGGAGATAAATTCAACAGGTAGTTAATAACTGGTCCCTTTTCAGAACAATATTAAAACGAAAGGAAAACAAATTTGATGTTCTGAGCCGAAGAAATTGATCAATCTAAAATGGCTTCTTCAATTGAAAGCTATATAAACAGTATCCTTTGTAATTAAAAAAAGAAGCATTGCCTAGCCAATAAGATTTATAAGATTTGCTTTCAAGATGAACAGTAATTACCTACCCTAAACTACCGTACTTTAGATTAGTAGGGTAGTAGTTACTGTGTGAGCTTTGAGTTTGAAATTGAAGTGAATTTTTTTCTCTCATTTCATATAAACATTCAAAATTAAATTTTCAACTTTATTGTATTGTCTTAGAATGTCTTTGGCTTCGTAGAAATATAAGGTTTAGTGATTTTGAATTTAAAATAGACATAATTTCCTGCCAGAAGGAAAATTCATGTGAAAATAACCTACTTTTCAGACTGAAAATCTCTGTAAAATCATGTTCACAAATAATAATTTTTTCAGTGGTTGACATTTTCATCAATCCAAAGGTAATCCAAGATTCTCAGTAGTCAGTATATGCTGACTGTAACACCACTGCCTTTGCAAATCTGTTTTATAAATGAAAATATGCTGTTAATTTAAGTTAATTTGATTATTGGCTATTTTAAAAAAGTACCGTAGTAAAGTATTATTAGAGGCTGGTATTTCAATTATTATAGTATGAAAATAATGGGTTAATTGATTTCCAGTGAACTTGTAGAGTTTTTCACGTGCATAAATCTTATCCCAAAAAATGATTTTTAAATCAGAGCTCTAGGCATTTATCAAACCAAAAACAACCAGAGCCACTCGTGGCACAGAGTGGGACTTTGCAAATGTAGCAATTTGCTAAAGACCCTGAAAAAATCAACCATCGACGATAATTATGTCAAGCGCAAGAACATTTTTTTTTAGAAGATTTTAATACCGGAAGTAGACGTCAGACCTCACAAATGAAAGTTTCAGCAGATAGCCAAGGTCAATGACCTTTGATCTTGTAAAGGAGAAGGTCTAAAAAGGTCAAGATAAAGAGATATACGTCATCAAATTTTCTAATTGCACACGACTATAAAACCGGAAGTTGACATAGGACAGCAAATATAAAAGTATAAATAGATAGCCAATGCCAATGACGTTTTATCCTACAAAGGTCAAGGTCAACAAAGGTCAAGGTCAAAAATTGAAAATTTTGAATTTTCAAAACCTGTTCCTTTTTTTGAACTATGAAGCGGAAACAACCGAACTTCTAAGACAAAGTGGCTTAAAACATGAGATAATTGTATGCAAAGTTCCATTTTGAACAAACGTATACTTTGCGAGTTATGCTCCTGGCCAAAAATGTCAGTAATGAGTAATATAACCCAGATGTGCCACGCCCATCTTAATTTTTTTTGCATAGAGTAATTGATATTCAAATTGTTATGTGTGTTTTAAATTTCAAGCTTCTACATTATTCAGGTCAAAAGATATAGGTCAACAAATGTCAACAAAGGTCAAAATCGAAAAATGAAAATATGCAAATGTTAAAACCAGTTCCTTTTTTGGAACTATAAAGCTGAAACAACTGAGCTGTTAACACAAACTGGCCAAAAGGATGAGGTTATTGTGTGCAAAGTCCCCTTTTTAACAAACGTATCCTATGCGAGTTATGCCCCAGCCCCAAAATGTAAACAATTAGTAATTCAACCCGGATGTGCCACGCCCAGACCAATTTTTTTGTCATAGGTTAATTCATATTCGAAGTGTCTAGTTATATTCCAAATATCAAGGTTCTACATCAAATAGATCATAAGATATACATACACCAGGCTCAAAAAGTCGCAAATATTGTAAAAAAAAAAACTCAAATTTGAAAAAATCACGAATTTCAATTTCGCTTTAAAAAAACGATTGTTATATATCTATGTAAAGTGCATGAGAAGCACATTAGGAAACCTAAAAAATTTACCCTCTAGGTTAATTAGGTCACGTGCTAGAGCAGTCCAAAGTTGCGAATTTGGCTTTTTACGGATAGCTATTAAACCGGAAGTACATGTCGGAGGTCAAAGTATCAAATGATAGCCAAGGTCAATGACCTTTGACCGTATGAAGGTCAAGGTCAACAAAGGTCAAGGTCAGGAGAAATATGCTTTCAAACTTTGAAAAAATTCAACTGGAAGTTGCGAAATTGCAAAAACAAAATTCAAAAATCGGCTCGCAACGTTTTGTGAACATTAGACAGCAGATTACATCGACACCAAATTTATGCAGATTTAGTTTATCCCTAAGGACTTATTTCTATTTTAAGAAAAATTAGAAAATCAAGATGGCGGCCAAAGTATTACTTTCAGTCTGGATTTTACATTCTTCGTTTTTTTGTATTAGCATTTACTTACGACCTGCATATATTCTGTTGACCTATTTCATTTACACCGGAAGTTATTCGACCGGAAGTAGATTGTACTTTCAATTGATTCCACCTTCAAAACCGGAAGTGACGTCAAAACTCTGACTGTATCATATCATTGACTTTATTGATGTCTCTTTGCATTTTAAATTTCAGATCAATCGATGCAAAAACAAAAAAGTTGCAAAAAAATTGCAAAATTCAATCGAAAAAAGTTTGCGACAAATTTTCGAATTTCGTAATTTTTCAAGTGCTATCTGATCAGAAACTACAGCCAGATTTTAAAAATGAAAACCCGAAGAAAATCGATGCAAAAATGCGCCTTCCAGAGCCAATTTACGAGTTTTTGCACTGTGGCACTCAAGGTTTTGCAAAAATGTTCCAATTCATATTCATTAAAAACGTTGCCACTGCAGAAGGTTTACACATGTAGAAATGTTGATGTAGCTATTGAAGCCTGGGCTGTGTGCCCTGTGGAAATTTCAAAAAAAAAAAAAAAAAAAAAAAAAAAAGAATTGACATTTCGATAACAAACTGGGACTTTGCTGAAAGCTGAGTTCTTAGAATACCATGGCCCACTTATTTGGAGCTAATATTTTAATTCATAGGAACATGAAAAATATTATTAAATTTAAACAGTACTCCTCTAGAGTTGGACAGTGAGTTCTGGTATCGATAGATTCCCTGGGTTTTTTTATCAATCTGTAAACTTTCTAATGCCTAGGAAATTCTCAAAGTTTTCCTCAACTCAAAATTTAGAAATGGTTTCAGTTGTAACTTCAGATGGAAGAATTATTGTGGTATGAGAAATCTACTTTTAAAATTAAAACTAGTTGTTAATGAGCAGTGCACAGAGAAAGCATTTAAAGTCATGACTGACATGATGTTAGGGATCGTTTTATTAATGACAAACCCTATTTTTATTCTTCATTACATATTAATATACTTTTTTTTTTTTATGAAAGGCTGTATGTATTTGGATGAGGATGATGTGAGTTTAAGCAGTAAGCTGTATTTAATTGTATGGTTTTTGGATTTCAGGGAACATTAAAGGGTTTTGATCAGACCATTAATTTGATATTAGATGAAAGTCATGAAAGAGTTTATAGTGGTGGTCAAGGTGTAGAACAAGTTATTTTAGGTTTATATATAATCAGAGGAGATAACATGTAAGTCAGTTGATCTAATCCACATGTTTTCTTTCATTAAATTTTGTTTAAAATGTCAATGTCAAGCATAATTTTTCAATTTGCTAATTAACTGAAAGCAACCTTATCAACTGTATGAAATACAATGTAATTATTATCACAGTCTTGAGGTTGGTCAAACAATATCGCTAATAAAACTTAAGATACCAATACAAAAAGTTTAGTTTTCAATGAAAAACATTAAAGCATTTATTTTCACAATTATGTGATTAAGATGTGTCATTAATGTTATATAAGCAAAAATGTAAAGCAATATGTTTTATTTATTTTAGAGCTGTTATTGGTGAAATAGATGATGATACAGATCAGGGACTGGACTTTCAAAATATCAAAGCTGAACCATTAAATTCCGTTGTTCATTGATGAAATTGGATGCCATTTAGGAAGTGTATGTATAATAAGTGTAAATATCCATGACTTTTATAACAGGAGAAATGTTATAGATTTAGTGTCTTAAAGATATTGCTCATTAGTAACTATAAAATGTTGTGTGAGCTAACCTTCATTGGGATGCAGTATATTGAGAGTGAACTATATCCTGTTCATCTGATTCATTCAAGTCAACGGAATCATCTTTCTTGTATATTTAGCATTAAATTCAACTTTTTTATGTCAAATGTTTCTTTTTCTTGAGATTAGAAAGTAAGCAAGCTTATTCTTTAGCGAACATTTTTTATCCCTCCTTGTACTACAGTATAGTTCAGATGGGACAATAAACCGAGGCCCCGTGTGCTACAGGCTGTGCACGTTAAAGATCCCTCGACAGTTGGAAATCGAAAAAGAGCAGGCTAATGCCGCTTGTCCTGGCAAAATTTCTCTCATTGCACCCTGCATGGCATTGCCCGTCTTCATTAGCCCACATGGTGCAGAAAAGTAGGACGTAAAACTCCATTCATTTCATTTCATTTCATTTTGTACTATAGTATAGTCCAATTGTGTCCATGTTGTTGGCAGATTGTGACAGAATAACACCAGATTTGAATTAAAAAAAAAGAACAAAGTACAATTTTGAGTCATTTTAATAGCAAGAAAGATGTATTTATATTACATTGAAATATTTTAAGTGATTAACATCTATAATACAAAAAGCACCGAGACAGAACATCACAAATATCTACAGTTCAATTATGTCCATGTGAAATTTTTAAGCAAGAACATACTACTAAAATCATTTCTCATTAACTATTTAGAACTGCACTAAAAGCAAAGGAAACTAAGGTACTAATCTGAATTAAACAAAACAAAACTGATCTACAATATTGTATGTCTTCTCTAATTATATTGGCCACAAATTCATAAAGCACTAAGTAATGAGCAAATATTCTAGTATCTTGGGAATCCCTTATTTAAATCATATTAAAAAAAAACTCATCTTAAAACAACATGCCACAGACATAAAGATCACTTAACGTAATATTTTACAAATAGAATTATATCCGGTTATAAACATTTATTTCGGGATTAACTATTCCAAACACAGAAAAGTGTTGTATTTTCATATTTTTACGCTTATTTGTGACCAGTGCCTTTTAGCAAATTCTTAACATACGTACCTAGCTTTTGATTGAAAATATTAGTGTGAGAATGAGGAATGCCACATCCAACTTTTTGAAAAAATTTCCTTGACAGAGATTACATAAGGTCCATTTTCATACTTAGCTTATTACATATTCTGCATACCATATCTGAAACCCTGTGTCAAAGTAACTTCAATCAATATAATTAAGTTACTTACACCAAAGAGGATTATATTAAAAACTCTGATGTTTATATTATCCTCAAATAAATGACAATAAATTAGCCTTACAAAGGATTGTTAAAAAATAAAAAATAAATATACCTATATAATACTTGTTTATACAATCAGATCTAATCTTCAATAGACAATATTTCAACCTTAGTTGACTTGTTTTAACTGGTAATGCCTAGGATTATTCTAAAGCTTTTCATGAATCAATTGTCCATAATAAAACAGATTCTTTTAGTTCACAGAAATTGAACACAAAGACAGAATGAAGCTGTTAATTATAAAAACTTTCAAATATCTATATAATTTTTCAGAAACAAAATCTTAACATCTGGTGGTCTGTCTTCAATTTCTGCCTGGAAATTCAGAACCAAATGAATATTAACAATCTTTGGAAAATATTTTGTATAAATTGCCTAATATCATTGTAGTGCCATAGCCCCAATCTTTCATCATACACATTTTTACAATTTTCTTAGATCTTAAAGTACAGTACCGTTCAGATTGTCTGAAAGTAGACCAGTATCTTAAATACTTGATTCCTTCAAACAAAATGTTGTCATTTAACACAACAGAGAACTATGAAATGTGATTTGTGAATTAGTAGGAAAGAAATTATTTTGATTCTAAACTATATGTACAATTAAATATCATTATTCTATTAATCATAATATAACTAGGTAGAAATTGTAATTCTGTACAGCTGAAAGGACCCTTTTTTTCTTAGTTTCTTAAGGTAAATTTTTTCATGGGGTTCATAAAAATTGCTTAAACCTTTCTGATACTGGACTTGCAGTACTGGTGGCATTACCAATACTGCGAATGAAGGATGCATTTCCAGATTCACATTCATCTTTATGTTTTTGTTTTCTTTTTGTAAAGAAGAAACAACCTCAACATGCCATAACAATACAGAGATGGAAAACATTCTGAAAAAAAAAATACCAGCAATATCAAGGAATGCTCCATTTCTATTTTACTCAATAGAAGAGTAATTTAGGTTTAAAAATAACGAGCGACAAAATATTTAATTAAGTATTGACCTGATGTTTTAGTCCAAGCAATGTACCTTTCATTTACCCAGTAACATAGAACATATCTTACATTAAACAGACTCTAGAAAGTCTTCGTCAACTTTACCAATCTCTCCTCACTCAACTCCTATACAATAACATAATTCATATGATGAAAACAGAAAAATCATTAATAATCTACATTATTTTGTCAATACAAAATATCACTGTATCCAGCTTATCAAAATTAATAAAAAAGAAAAAGAAAAACTACTGTAAATGTAACGAACAGAATTTCAAACTTAGCTTTATCAGTTATTACATGTAAGTAAATATTACAAACTACATACATATTAGATAATAAATCTAAATATTTAAAAAAAAGCTTGAAACAGGCTCTATAAACTGTAAAAATATACCTTTTTTTTCTTATTGAGAAAAGAGCTGATTTTATTATAAAATAAAAAGGAAATTGTGTGAGCCACATATACAAACATATCTATACAATTATATACAAAGCTTCATTGATGTATGTTTTTATAAAATAGATCAGTATGATATCTGAGGTATAGACCATAAAAATATTAGATATATTGTGATAAGTTTTCATGTGATATTCGTAGGAACTCTCAAGTCTAATTCTACATACAACACAAACTATACCCTTTTAAGCATTTTCAAACGCCCTAAGCCCCTTCCCCTACCCCCCCCCCCCCCCCCTCCCCCCCTTAAAAAAACCCAAAACACATCAGTATTATTTATATCAAAAACCATTTATCTTTCATTCATTTTCAGAAACCTTTGTGTTGTAACACATACAATATTGCATTGCTACAATTTAATTTTTTATTTAATTCAACAGCATAAAAATTTTCATAAAAATCTATGTAACAACTTTAATTATTCCCCAAAATCACAATACTTTCTGCACATTTAGCAACTAAGTGCAATTAATGTGCAAATAATTTGTACAAAATCAATCATCCTAGTTTGAAATTAATTTGTAATGTTAAATGGAAACAAAATTGGTTACAAATTGCAAATGTTTTATCCATATAACCTTAAAGCAGAATAATACATAAGGATATTATTTCAAGCAATTCACTCTGTGAATATGATATGTGTCGAAATGTGTTCTTTTTCACTGGACGATTATTAAAAAGATAAATTCTTCAATGGATCTAACAATATTTCAAATGCATGTGAAATCTACCCAACCACTTGATGCACAGGAATTATGTACATATATTTGATGTGGAAAAAATACTTGAGCATACCCACGGACGATGCAAAACATAAACACAAAAAATAAAATAAAGTAAATAGTAATTAACATAAACTACTACATATACTCCCTAAATATAGTGGTCAGCTTGTGTTTATGTTTTGAATCTTCCTCCAAATGTACACATATAGCTTTTCTCAAATAAAAACATCTGAACTATTTCTATTGCAAAATATTGCCTAGCAATAATTGAGCACTATATAAATGTCACTGATTATAATGTATTGCGTATATTATTGTTTACTATTGAATGTTTCCAATATAATAATTGATTATGTTACAGAAAGGTATATAGTAATATAAATTAGATGATTAAAGAATTGAGACATTAATAAGAGTAATAGTAATATCTGTATGTTTATCATATTAATTCACTGAGCAACAGGAATGCTCATTTTAATCTTTCAAAAAACACTTGTTATTCATAGATTAATCATCTAATTGAAGTATTTTCAAAAAAATGACCACAGGTTCAAATTTTGAAATCTGCATGCAAGAGAATTATTTATTTCTTTGAACCTCAAAACCTACCAAGCAGGGCAATTGCAAACTAGGAGAAATGGATTATATACTAAATTTTGATAGATCTCCAAAGATATACAATCACTGAAAGTAAATGAAAAATAAAAATTTTGTGGTATTTTGAGGATGAAGAAAATGAACTATTCCTGATAACTTCTGTCATTTAAATGTGCAGGGAGTATTTAAATTTTAGACAAAGTTTTCATCTACCCAAAATGTCTTGAAGCCAATTTTAATTTGTAGTACCATTTGTTATGAACTCTTAGCAAAGAGTTCTTTTTAGCAGATATTACATACACATAACACAATAGAACATTATTTCACATTATAGAACTATCACATTCTTTTACCATTGATACCCATTATGACTCTTGTACAGATACAATACAGTAGTGGGTTGATTATTAGAATTGCACATTAATTATCTTAGTCAAAGACTCAAACATCAAAGAGAATATTTCAAAAGACATTTTTATCATCACACAATCTCAAAATAACATACTCTGTCTTCGTCTGTTGCCTACAATTAAAAAATATTAATGATCAAAGCCACAAACTAATGAGGTAAGCTGATACCCCTTTCACACTGCACAACTGGATTATTGAATAAGGTTAAAACGGATTAGAAAGGTTCGATTCAGTTCGCTTTGCACTACATAATAATAATATAATTTTCCATATCCTCTTACGATTCATATTCGTGTACTTTAGTAACCCCTTTCTTGTGATTTCCAAGTATTTCCACTATAATGTTCATGCCAACAGGAGTGGCATGATACCCAACATGATATTCTTATCCGGATAACTTCTTGATTGGTTTCGCACTGCCACTTTTCTAGATAGTATCCAAACGAACTCCACCTCTGGAGGTAAATTTATCTATCTGGATAACTTCTGGTAATAACTGAATAAGTTTACGTGCCAGTGAAAAACTTATTCAGATAGAACTGGATACAACTAAATTACATTTGCAGTGCAAAAGGAGTATTATGGTATGAAACAACAAAAAAACACTAAAACTCATTCGAGACCACACCAAAAAATCCGACCAAACTGAAGCCTTTATCTCAATAATAAGCCAATTGTAAACAATATACATCAACAATATATTATGATATCAGAGTGAAATATTTACCTGAGGCTGCTAAGGATGATGAACGTATACCAGGATCTCTATGTAATGATATACCTGGTATAGTAAATATTGAGACAGCTGAAATTCAAAATGGTTCCAGTTACTTAGATTCTTCTCACCCTCAAATTAAAGTACTAATACAACAACTTAAATCTAAATTGGTGGTATGCAGACTTCAAAAAACATGCTTGAAAGTGAGATTCAAAACAGTCCAGTTATTTGATAAAATGCATTTTTGTTTTTTATCAATTTCTCACTTTTCAAAATTACATCCATAACCACATGATCAGCAAGTTCAAATAACATTCATGAATTTTATAATAAAACTAAATCAATACTTACTATCTGGTATTCTGTGAATTGTGGACCCAAATGAATTGAAGAATGAATGAGTCATGCCTGAGGCTGCCGACATTCTGTTCCTTGCTGCATACTGTAAAACATAAAACACAGTCATGTACGTTCCACAACTTCTACTCTGATCACAAGGCCTGCATTCAAAATCCCATTCACTGTACAAACAGACAGTACCCTTCCATAGGAACAGTTAACCTGTTAGGAACTTACCAATAGACTACCCAACAGATGTAAGGGTCTTGTTACAGAATTTGAACTTAAGTTAAAGAATAGAACTAAATAAAGTCATACATACCTTTAAAAATTTTGACAATAAATCTAATCCATCATGGTCTAACCTGAAATGCAGCAAAACAAAACTAAGTTTAAAGGCTAGAGACATCAGGGTCAAATTTACCACTGCACAACACACAATGATATTAGTTTGTTTTTTAATTACTACTTCTGATTTAATATAGTGACCATGCACATAAACTTTAATTCATATTTCAAAAAACGTTTTGTTGAATATTGAAAAATATAATATTAAAAATCTGAACAGTATAAAATAATACAGAAATTTGAGATGTTATTTTTATCAGTTAAAAAACTACCTCGGTGCAATGTTGATCAATGGTTCTGGTTTATATCGAGAAAAATTATATGAGACATATTCCTCATTGGAACTTATTCCTGGAAATTCCTGTTCAGTAGGCGTTCCTAACGCTTTAAATATTAATAATAACTCATCTTCTACAGTGGAACCAGGAAATAACGGCCGACCACACGCCATTTCATAAAATATACAACCAACACCCCTGAAATAATTTCAATACGGTAAATTTTGTAATTCAATATATGATAATAACATGAACATTTCTGAGAGTTGACACTGAACAATGACTACTATGAATCTACTTAAGGATACCCTTATAAAATTATTTCAGTTGTTATAGGGACAGATGTGCCATTTTGGGGGGTTGATTTAAGTCTTGAATATATGTAAATAATCTACAGAAGTACTAGAATTGTAAGAAAATTGCTTTATTCCTTTGAAAATACTCCAAACTAGTAATTTTACTCACTTTTTCTATTGATATCTTTTCTATATATCACATAGTATCTTAAAATTATGAGTCGTCATTTTAACATTCAAACTCAGATAATTCTGGACACACATGGATTTGAAGGCTCAAATTTAGACGGTGAGCTGTGAACACTATTACTGATTGGCTTAGCTAAAAAATTCCTGTTTCTGAGACTAAGGTTCGATTGGTCAAAAAAATGGCACATCTTCCCCTTTAAATCAATGTGAATATTATCATAAACAATTCTAATTGAATCTTTAAAAACCACTGAGTGAAATTTTCCTCAACAATAACATCGAACTGGTCATTGAAGGATTATTTATTACAGAATTATCAATATTTTACTTACCACATATCAATTGGTGTGGAGTATTCTGTAGACCCTAATAAAACATCAGGTGGACGATACCTACAATAAAATGTCAAATAGAGACATTGAATACAAAACTTCAACTAAATATATCGATCAGAGAGAGAGAGAGAGAGAGAGAGAGAGAGAGAGAGAGAGTACTTTATTTACAGTGGAGAATTGTACATGAAAACAGATTAAAGTAAAATCATGTCTAACACAACAGACAAACTTACCATAACGTCACAACTTCATTGGAATATGTTTTGGTGGGAATAGATTTGGCCCTCGCTAATCCTGCAAAATTCTCTTAAGATGTATATATGTAATAGTACATGACATTTATACTAAGTTAAATGTCCAAATATAAACAAATTAAAAATCCCTTAAATCAAAATAAAAATGCCATTAATGTTCATTCAGAATAATATCTATTTTGTACTAAAATACATAAACATTGAGCACATCAATTTGGTTTAATATAAAATACACATTTAGACAAAAGTAACTAATGTAACCTACCAAAGTCTGCTAGTTTTAACTCGCCTCTCTCATTAATAAGTAAATTCTGAGGTTTCAAGTCTCGATGTAGTACCCTTCGTTTATGACAGTATGCTAGCCCTCGTAATAATTGGTATAAAAATATCTAAAGTAAAAAGGATAAAATACATCCCAAAATGTAAATTTTCACATGTCTGTTCACTCTTTAATATGGTGTATCTTCTATTAAGTATAGTTCACTTAGCGACCACAGACTAAATGGCTGATGGTGGGCAATATATATAGTTGCCTAAGCGTTGAAAAAATAATCAGCTGAGATTACATGATGGAGACAAAAACTATCTGGCTGAGAGTGACCAAAAACTATCTAGCTGATTTTAACTGATGACTAGTCGAATTATAGTGACCTTGAGGTTAGCTTATCATATTTTACAAAAAAGAATGGTTTATTGTGTCCAAGAAAAAGCTGGCAGATATTAAACTATGATTAGCCGATTGATGCTAACAAAGAAGGGATCAGCTGACAAATAATAAAGGAAATGCTAGCCAATATTGGGCAACAACTAACTAATATGGAATCTTTATTCCTTACCTTGACATTTGTCATACTCATTATATTACCACAATCATCCATGTACTGTTTGAGATCTTTTTCCTACAATATTGGAAGATGTTATTTTACATCTATTTAAATGTCATGTAAAGTAGATAAAGCACATAAGCAAGCACTTGACTTAGTGTAAGTTGACATTCACTGCTTTTGGTTTCATAAATTCTATGATTTTTTATATTCCCAGAATTCAGTTGTCATAGCAAATTGAAAGTCTGGTGCTTTAACCATTCCCCATAGAGGCAGGGAAGAAACATTAAGTACCAAGCCCGCAGTGACTCTTGTAAACAAGTCTTTCTCACGACAATACTTATGTAGAAAAATAAAATTCTTACCAAATATTCAAAGACTAGAGTAAGAGATTTTTCTGTATGTATAATATCATGTAATGTTACTATATTAGCATGCTTGAGATCCCGTAATAATGAAACTGAAATATCAAAGCAGTATATTCATATCACCAACTAATCTACAATAATTTAGGACATAGAAACTGTCACAAGACATTCAAATAATCCATTCTTCTTTTTCTAAAGATAGCTTGCCAGGCAAGGTAATATACGCCCATTGGTAGCTTTGATTTTGAATATAAATATTTAGCAGTACATTAACAATCACCAGTATGAAATATTCAACCTTTAGTCATACACTTCTTTTGAACTCTTTAGGGCAATACTGAATAATATTGAGTATGAGTTATTGCCCTTGTTCTTGAAAACGTGTTCAATCTTTAGCTTGTGAAAACTCTAGAAGACAAATATTCAATCTTCAGCGCAGTACTGAACAATAAAACCAAATTTGGTCAAAATCCGACAAAAATCATGAGTTTTTACATGCTACAAATTGAATGAGTTTTCAAGAACAAGGGCAATAACTCAAACTAAACATTTTTCGATTTTTCTGATTTTCAAAAGGGTTCATCCTTGGGTGATTACAAACACTCACACCAAGTTTTGTCAAAATCTGTCAAGAATTGTGCCTTCTAGAGTGTTTACAAGCTAAAATTTGAACATGTTTTCAAGAACAAGGGCAGTAACTCATACCAAATATTTTTCGATCCTTCTGATTTTCAGTAAGGTTCATCCTTAGGTGATTACAAACACTCACACCAAGTTTCTCCATAATCCGTCAAGAATTGTCCCTTCTAGAGTGTTTACAAGCTAAAATTTGAATGCGATTTCAAGAACAAGGGCAATAACGCATACTAAATATTTTTCGATCTTTCTGATTTTCAATAGGGTTCATCCATGAGTGATTACAAACAACCATACCAAATTTCGTCCAAATCAATCAAGAATTGTGCCTTGCAGAGTGTTTACGAGCTATTGTGGACGGACGGACGGACGGACCGACGGATGGACATACAAGACGGCAATATAAGCCCCCCCAATTTCATGCGGGCGTATAAAAACTAATGTATTACATTATCACTTTTGTTTCTGAACACAGACTGGGTATAAGATCAAACTATCATTATTTATATCAATAAATCACTGCCTACCTTCTCTGATTGCTGTACAAGGGGCACCTTCTTCATGTTCTAACCTAATTTCTTTTAAAGCAACTAAATTATCTGTTAAGCGAGACTTTCCCTTGAATACCGTGGCATATGTTCCCTACAAAATATTACAAAAGCAAAATCAAAGCTTGCATAACAACCTTGGACAATTTTTATAACATATTTCAGTGAATGCATACTAATACAGATACATACTTGTAACATGTTGTCTTATCCAAAAGTAAAAGCAAACTTATGTCTCAACAGTGATACAATTTCTGGTTGAAGAGCAAGTCAGACTGCCCACAATCGCTGAATTCTGTGTAATATGATTGATTTTGCAACCTTTCGACAACAAATCTCAAATTGTAGTACATGCGAAATCAAGTCAGTGATCTTCAGGGACATCAGACATCATATCTTTATATGAGAGTTCTTAGCTTATTTCCTGCAAATGAGCTGTTGTCATATGACACATGCTTAGTAAGGATGATTACAGGTGATATAAACCAGCTTCAGAATGATCATATAATCAACCTTTTTTTTTTTGTACATTCATAAAATGATCATATAATCCCCATCTCTAACTATGATGTCTACAACATAATACAGATAATGATAGCATTTGATTAGAATTTAAGAAATGCTTATAAACAGTTAATGCTGTGAATGAAGCAAGTGATTATATAGTGTTATATTTACCTCTCCTAATTTATCTAATTTAGTATAAGATTCTAGTTTACCAAATCCTATTTCAGACTGAAATAATAATTATATACATATCAGTAAAATGTGTATAAGTTTTTTTTAAATCTGAAAAATTAATTTATAGACTATAGTTAATTTTTAACTATTTTACAAGTATGTCCTTTCTTTTTGCTGCAATAGATTATTAGAGAAGCACAAGATATACGGATATACCATTTCTAACATTTCTATGTTCTTGTTCTTGTGCTTCTTTACCTACTCCTATTTCTATATGTCTTATAAACAGTAGGTTATTAGAGCTTATCAAACTTGAAATCATTAAACAAGAAATAAGCCTTATTGCATACTTCTGTATTTATTCCAGAAGCTCACTATCCTATATAATTATTAAGATATTGAAACTGTATTCAGTTGTATACTTACAAGAGATTTTCTACGAGATTGTCGTGTCAATTGACCGTCTGGACTAAGAGATAAACTTTGTCGTGCTAAGAAATTTTCAGGAAGACGAATATCAGCTGGTAGAGACAATCTTTTCATTACTTCCTGAAATAATAGATAAGTACAGTGGAATCTCTGCATTAAATAGACACTATGTAAGATATCTAGATGAGTCAGTGAGGTGCAAAGATGTCAGTTTGTACCTTTCCACTTTCCTTCTAAACAAAACAACGATGCCAGGTTATATGACAATAACTTCTATTGATTCTATAGACGTCATTTGACATGTCTGTTATTTGACATATTTCTTACATATGTCTATTGCAACATATTGAAATATATTAAAATGACACATAATATCCTAGTCTCATTGAAGTATACTTATAATATATCATTTATCTTGAAGTATATGATCCTCAGTGCAAGGTTTCAGAGAGTGCTTTTATTGATACTGGAATATATATAAATCTCTAAAAAGATATCTTGTTCTTTAAAATTCTATACATTATCAGGTAAACTTGAGTTCTGTCATCTTTTTAAATGCATATAGGCTCCATAACAATAATCCAGAAACATAGCAAAATATTAGAACCTTTCATGAACATACCTCATTAATTCTACGATTTTTATGTCTTCGTTTGACTGGAGATATATTGTCATCTTTCTCATCTGAAGTTCCTGATATTTCTTCACTTTCACCATCTGATCCAATTCGAGGTATTTCATGTACTATGCCTGAAATAGACAAAATTTTCACATTCATGTGTCAAAAAATGGTTAAAAAATTGTATGTATAGTAGTAAAAATAATCATTAATACTTGATTTACTATACCTGTTGATTTATAGACCATATATATTTTTGGCACCAGAGAAATCTAAGACAGCATAAAACTGTGTCTACTGCTACTTGAACTTCCCTCCGTCAAGTCATGAGCTCAAATAATATAAATATGATGTATCATGTCCTATGTCCTATGTCATAAGCATATCCCATCCCAAAATACTACTATCTGGAACACTTGACTTTTAGTATCATCAGTAAATGCAATATTCTTCTAGCAGGTATTTTTTGTGTATATGTTTATCATATAATTTTGAAATTAGTTAATGTGAAGGACTGCATGAATATAACTGGAGCTGCAAAATAATCCACTTGTATTTTTACTCATTATTTCAGTTAGTAACAGGATGATTTCACTATCTTAGCATATTTTTAACTTGAGGATAATGATACAACAAATAGTCCTAAAATCGAGTCTCTTACAAAGCAACTTATTTCTTCAGATTTTTACAAAAAAGCACATATTTGAAATTTTCAAATAAGGCCTATAATAGGTTGAAATAAATTAGGATGTTTCTGTTTATTTCAATATAAATGACTACATGTTTAACATCATGTATTAAAGGTAATATTACAACTATTTTTATCTTATCATTAATAACTTGTAAGGTTTTTTTTAATGTATTTTAAGGTGAAATGTTAGGATAAAGTTTTTAGTTTATTTCCTCTAATCTGACAAATTTATCAGAAATTGATAAACATTTCTACCATCACCTGCCTAATATTATTACTGTAGTCAACACATCACCATACTCAACTCAGTATCAACATACATTCTATAGGCTACTTCTATTCTGATAAATAACACCATCTATTAATGGCTGTCACAAATAAAACAGAAAGAGAGTAAATCTTTCACCTATTTGTGTAACAAACTATTCAAAAAGGCTTTGTTGGGTGAATTATACAATAGTTTATGTTAATTACAGATAAAGTAATAATTTTTCTAATTTTTAACCTAAGTAGCCAAGCTTGGAAATATAAAGTTGCAAGTCATAATTTGCTAGTCACAATGCAGTTCCTAACTCCAATTTTTTTCCAAATCCAGCAAAACCAGGAATAATAATTGAAAGATGTTTCGAAGCATAACTATCAACATAATTCATGACATCAATCATCAATTACCATGATGTTGTTATTATGCTCTCCACAGACAAACAAAGACAGTAAGGGATCTTTTCAAAATCATTTCATCAATTTGATTCCAAATCCAGAAACACTCTCAATCTTTTTGTCTAAATTTGAGTCATAGGGTTGGAAAAGTTTCAGAAAACTAAAAAGCCTTACACTTGAAGGTCTGCCATTTTGTGTTGGTTTTAGGCATTTTTACTCAGAATTCACCTTGAAATTAAAGGTGACAATTACAGAAATCATTAGCAATCTAAAGAACTGAAATGAATTTGCACTAAATACCAGAAAGACAACTACTAATGTAATTCTATGCCAGGTAAAAAATGAAAACCATCCTAAAAGTGAACCTTTATGCCATGTCAATAATTGGCACCTTATAAACTTGTCTAGTATACCACAGTAAAAGGAAAGTATTGTTAGCTGTAGTGAAGGTCAGTATGAAATAATAAAGGTAAAGAAGAGATGTATCTAACAGTGATATCTTATTACAGATTATCTTACTGATATAGACCAGGTAATGTTATTATTTACATCATATATAACAATAGTCAGACTACTAACATTCTATATTTACAGGTTTAGGTATGATCATATTAAAGTGATACAGTCAAATAATTTGTTCACAAACCAGGTGAAGAGACTTAAATGCCATATCTTTGATCTTTTATATGGGTGAAAGCCAGTTTTATGATCATTTTCATAACAAAATATTGTTCAAAATTGTTTCTCTTTTTTGTTACTCAGTTTAGATTTATGCATTGTGATATATAAGGCTATTTTTATTTGCATATTTTTCAGAAATCTTATTAGTGACAGTTTCTGTGTAAATTTTTTTTTTTTTTTTACAAAATGAATGATACATCTCCTTTTTTTCTCCTCAAATAAACATGGTGTTTAAAAATGATTTAACCCTGTGTGATTTTGATCTTACTTTATTTTGGTTGATACCTATGACTCTATGGCATATTCTACTTTTCATGTTGAATTGCTTGCTAGCATAGATAATTGCAATTTTTTAGGAATACAATTAATTGAAAAAAAAAAGCTCAAATTTGCTGTGGATATGCATTCACCAGATGAACTCTTTATTTAATCACTGAAGATAAATTCCCATGGCACAGAACATTCTAAATCAAATTCTTGTAGGCCAATATTTTTTCACAATGCAAAACATTCTTCTTGTAGTTCAAATTCTGACTTCTGACTCTATACACTTTTTTTTAAACTGTGTAGAGATCAGATTACTAAAATGTTATATTTTTTAATGCCTGAGTTAAAGTAAGTTTACCTCAAATCATATGGAATGAGATAGGAAATCTTAGCTGATATTTTGTTAGTAAACAATCTGATGAAATCTGTTTATTTAGGTAGCGTATGTAGATAACATAAAAAGACATCTGGTATGATGGTCTGGTCGTAATGTAATAATCATATAGGTACAGGTACATACTCATAATGTGAAATTGATTATATCTATCAATTGTTCTTTGGGTTATCTCATTAGATTATTCTGTTAGGGTCACAATGTATATCTTTGTTTCTTGGCATAGATATCCTGTACTTTCAGTTTGCAACATACTTGTCTTGGTTTAAAGTTTGCATATATTGAATGGCAATGATATTGCAAATTCATCTTAGATCTTCTACTAACTACAATTATGAAAACAGGTCAAGGTGTGGAGAAGATATATTTGTATTAGAAGTTTATTAACAACCCCAGAAAAATGCCACAAAAACCATCATTCAAAGAAAACTTGATGAACACATATGAAGTCTGTGTGGATATTCAAGCATGCATGGGCATAGGTAGGAATAAAACAGAATCCATTTTTCAGCCAAAGTCATATTTAAAATATTAAATGATACATAACTAATAATGAAGAAAATCAACCTGTTACTAAGAATATAGGTGGAACTACAGTTGAAATATCAATCTATTTACTATCTTACTAAGTCATCTTACTTATATATTAACACATTCCTTCTACTATTTCATTTCAGCCATACCCTTCAAAATAACAACTGTATTTATATAGTGGTCATAATCTTAACATTAATCTTCCTTGAAGAATAGATCATCATTTTTCATAACATCAACCACAGACCAAAGAGAATACAAATTGTACAGTATGCCTAAAAAACTGACCATAGCAAAATAAAACCTGTTCAGACTAATGTTTCTAATCACAAGGAACAAATTAAAAAGAAAACAAAACAGGTTGTCTTTTTTTTTAATTTCAGGATTCTCCATCAAAAAAAATCTATTTCCATGAAATTGTCCAGTACAACACTAATTCTTCCTAACACGAATTAGGTAATCATATATTTAAGAAATAGCCTAGTTCAATTTTGGTCTTACTGCTGAAATTACCTGTAATAACCAGACACAGAAAATCTTGACCCTGTTCAAAATTTAGATAAGACTAATCAAATTAATGTAGAAAACTTGTCTTCAGTAATATATTGTTTTGTAAAGGATATACTAAATAGAACCTTAACTGGGTATTCTCATATATTTGTATATTATTTCATAAGATTTATATTAAGTCATCCAGTTTTTCTATAATTTTCACAACCAATGACAGACTTGGATTACCGTTCTTCCTTTCTATTAATTGCAGACCAAACAAATCACAATACAATAATAATAGCAAGAATTATCATATATCTATAGGCGAAGTACAAATGGCATATAGGACAACCATATGTCTTTGAGTTGAAAGTTCAAAAAGAGTATGATAGTGCCACTGTCGATGCAAAATTATCCCATTTGCACACTGCTAAATGTTGCCTGTCTGCATTATTCCAATCTGGCTAAATACAAGTAGGACATCTATTCCATTTCATCTATTTATATTATGATTTTATAAAATCAGCCATTATAAAGCAGGTAGAACATATTATGGTATTGGTAGGTCCACACATGGGTATATGTAGTATTATTTAGATTAGGTCAATATCAACCCCAGAGTACTTGAACCTTTATACCAGATGACAGTCAAATATTTAATCCAAGAGATAAAATTTTTCCAGAAACCATAAGATTTTATTATTTTTCAATTAAAGGTTATACCGGTTGTTAAACAGATGTAATATGTATAAGATCAGTATGGCCAGCTGATATTGTAATTAGATAGTATAGGGCCTGATAATGTTGAATTCATAGTGATTACAATTAGACTTAACATAGTTTCAGCTTGACCTTTCTCTATCCATTCACAACCCCAAATCATTCCTAATTCCACAACACACAACACAAGGGCAGTGATCTGTTAAAAGATCAGTCATTAAGACTGTGCTATAATCTTTTTATAACTCAGGAAATTTTTCCGCGATGTTTTCAAGACTTTTGAACTTTTAAAAGTTCTCTTTTTTGTCGCAATTTCGTACAGTATTTCATATTTCATACACAATTAAATATCAATACATGATATCTAGCTATAAGTTATAACCTTAGATAACCGAGACAATCCTTGAAAACATGCTCATATGATTGCTTTTTAAGCTGCATTTATATTTTTTTTTTAACTTGTTACATTCGATTCAACCCAATAATGTCAAGATTCAAAATTTCTTGTTAAATAGTACAAAAACAACATCCAGCGTTCAAAAAAAAGTAAATTTTCTATTGATTCTGCATTTTGATGATGTTTACATATTTGTCTGGTATGTCTGTATCTCAATGAATATATCAACAATATATTGTGCAAGAACTAGTTTCAATATAATAATTTTTTGTGGAATGATCCTTATAGGATAAAAAAAATAGAACATTACCTAATAATTTTGTATCACGAGGTAGGGTCAGACTCTTACTCAATTCATGTTCTTTCTTTTGGTATAAAGCTGAGGTTTTCCATTGATTTGGTGAACTAGTTACAGGAGTGATGTCATTTACACTAGTCCGTGATTTAGAAAATGGCTTCAAATGACGTAACCATGATAGCGTCTTATCATAAATTGTATCCTTGCACAATAATTTTACATCCATACTTCTACGTTTTAATTTATCAGAAGGTCGATAAGATGAATCTACTTCGATTCCACCCTGAACTCGGCTGTTACTCCTATGCCTATATCGTACAGGCTGAGATTCCAAACCCGGCATCATGATAGTTTTTACATATAAAATCAGAATAAAGTAATATCTTCAAACTGTGTTAGATACAATCAAGAATCATGTATACACAACCAGATCAATCCCTTTTAAAATGATAGAATATTCACCATCACATTATCTTCATGTTGACGTAACTAATGTAACTCTAGTCATTACACAACATGCCTGGGAATCAAAGAAAATCTTTATTCAGTCTCCATAACAATTGATAGTTGAAGTTAAACTTGCATGTCTCCTAATCAGACAGTTTTCTTTGAGATATGTTCTACTCTATTATAAATCCTTTTCTTCATCTATTTTCAGTTACATAGATTTCATTTTAACTTTCTTCTTTGAACTCTAAAACCTTTTTTAGTGTATTAATGTGAAAGTGTTCTGTGTTGGCTAAGTTAGTAATTTATAAAATCAAGTCCAATCTAAAGTGAGTAATTTGATTCTGGCATGGTAAATAAATGATAGAAAGAAGAGCTATGTTATGATTCTTGTGATAACCACACACATTCTTTATTCTTATTATTATATTAAATCTCTATACAAAATAAATCTCATTCTTCAAATAATAAGTTCCTTTATCTGAATATTCCTTCTTTCTATTTGTGAAAATAGAAATAATTCTAATCAAAAATTTTTTTTTTGGTTCTCTTGTTTGACACACAGCAACTCTTACTCAAATAAATACATTTTCTAAACATCAAATTATGGTGGAATTCCATTTGTGTGACTTTTTTTTTTATATCAATCTATAATTACTTCTACAAATGTTGTTGATACAAATAAATTTCCTTTAATATATAGCTCACTTTATAACCAATTTTCTGCACAGGTAAAAACAAAATGGTTATCAAAAGTTGTCAACCTTCCTTCAGATTTGTAACTTCAATCCATTATAAAAATATTTATTTTTTTGCAAATCAGCATCATAATACTGTCAAAATCTTTATTATATAATAATCCACAGTTATTCTATTAACATACTTTTTATTTCACAATGAAAATTTCCCACTTGATCTTTATTTACAACGCCTTTTCTAATTGTAGAATTTCATAAACAAATGCAATACTCCCTATTTCCTGCAAATTAATGCCACACAGCAATCTAATATTTCAACATTACTATTCTTTAGAAAGACAAGAAATGTAAGAAGAATTTCCTTCACCACACTTGTAGAGGCAGTTAATTATCAAGTAGCAATTAGTAAACATGTAAATATACTAGTAATACTATACTATACTATACTCTCTTAGTTTGATTAAGACTTATAAAATCCATTCCTATATAAAACATGACTTTTAATACACTGATTCACTTAAACTACAAAAATATCCTTCCCAAATGTAGATAACAATTCTAGTTACTGACTGACTCTACACATTAAAATGATTTATAAAACTAGAGGAGGTAAAGGAAGTGTTGGCAGATAAAAATAGATATATTGGGCTACTTGTGGTTCCAAATCATATAACTTGCCTGATAGTAGTCACTTCTACCCAGTTTCTTACAGACTGCATGATCAAAGAGTTCAAGACTGGATATAAGAAGATTTTTGGGAAAGGTAAACTAAATAATTAAATGTTTGCTCAATTGACCGTGTAGAACTGTAGCAGAAGTCACTTCGGTCATTATCTAATCACTTGATAACCAAGACTAAACATACTGTAGTGTCTAATAGTGAAGACAGATGCCTATTGACAGGTGAACATTTTTCATGTGCTGAATCCACAAATTTCTCATTCAAAGCCATCTCAATCAATCATTTAGACATGGATGATTAAGCTTATAGTAAGTTCCATTGATGCAAAATGATTAAGATAGTTAATTCGCAGTAACAGTGATCCAACATTGATCTCAAATGTAGTAATATGCCACTGACTTTTTGGATTTTGTAGAAATAAACTTTAATGAGATTTCTTAGTTTAGATATATTGAAAACAGTTCAGATTGCAAAGAATTTTAGACACTCTGGTTCTATTAAAGGCTGCAACGGATAATTTTGTTGGTCACACTCTTGGGAGAAAGTCAGAGATTGTTAAAACAGACAAGACATCAAAGAAGTGCATGTCGCGTCATGTCAATTATTTTGGTGTTTTTGAATTTTGAATGGAAGTCAAAGAGATAGTCTGTTATCAGTTGATTAAAGATAGCTTGCCAGGCAAGGTAATATACGCCTTGTAAATAAAAATATTTGGCGGTACAGTAACAATTACCAGTATGAAATATTCAACCTTCAGTCATACAATTCTTTTGAACTTTTTAAGGCAATACTGAAGTTTCATCAAAATCTGTCAAGAATTGGGCCTTCTAAAATGTTTACAGGCTAAAATTTGAATGCATTTTTAAGAACAGGGGCAATAACTCATACTAAATATTTTTCGGATTTTCAATAGGGTTCATCCTTGAGTGATTACAAACAACCATACCAAGTTTCGTCGAAATCAATCAAGAATTGTGCCTTGTAGAGTGTTTATGAGCTATTGTGGACAGACCGACCGACAGACAGGGTGACAACAATATACGCCCTCCATTTCATGTGGGCATATAAAAAGGAAGCCAAAACAAAAGAGCCCTATGAATAATAAAAATAAGAATAATAAACTCTATATTTTACATGGGTCAAAATAAGGGCCAATACATAAGCACATGGTCCTGTCCAATATTCAGCCCATGGGGACATGAAAATTGAAACTATTGTCCTGAAAATATTCCAGGGGCTGTGTACAACCAGACCGTATGAGTATATAAACAAAATTTCCGACTGAAGCTATTGGCCTTTTTATATGTTGATCTTCATAAAATTGATTGAGTCAAAACAGTTATGATCTTGGCAATGTTTCTCTTTAAACAATAAAAAATATCTAGAAATTTTTTGTAACTTACCATTTTCCCTAACCTCTTGTACTGATTGACTTCTGTCTTCTACTGTTAATTGTTCTGCCAGTTCAGATAAACTCTCATCTAGACCACGCCCAGTTCTTAATGTAAGGGACAGTCGTCGTTTTAGTTTTTTCATCATAATTTCAACAGATTATCCTCAAAGGACTAAATAATTATGTTCAGACATCATCATCTTATTCCTCTAGTAGCTCAAAAACCTACAACAAAATACATTCAGATCATTCATTATTAAAATTTGACCAACTCTGACATTTTAAGTTGTCCTAAAATAAGCTCATATAAATCCTTTTCCCTGTAACAGTGCTTGTTTCTGTTTATCAACAATAATTTAACTATTTAACTATAACATTATATATTCCTGTGTCAATTGTAAAATATAGATTGAAAAACATATTATTTATCACACCTACACCAATTACTATAATACTATATTCCAAATATCATACAGGATATATAGAGGAATCGCTGTAAAAACGATTAATAAAGTATTACAAAGGACAATTAAAGAGATTCCAAGGAGCTTTTTTAGTCTATATATGTGTAACTTAAACAGATAGACATATAGCTTTTATTTCTACATTAACCCATCCAACAACTATGACTCTTATCATTCCAGAAAAATAATAAAGTTTATAAATTAATTACATTAACCCAACTGTCTGGAATGTATTTTCATTATCATTATCTTACTAAGCATGTAAAGTTTCAACACAAATTAACATACCCATTCAGATTTCGTGAAACATAAACTATTTTAATTGCAGGGCGTTCGTAAGCGAACGCCCTGGTTTGTTTTTGAATTGATTTTTTTTTTTTTTTTTTTCGTCCACGGCAGGCCGGTTTTCTCGGCAATGGCAATAGGTACGGGAAAACGGACTTCATGGCGTTTTGTAACTCGTGGCTAATCACTGTTTAAATGTAAAACAAAAACTTTCTGAGCAACATTACGCAACGTTGCAACAAACGGAAAATGGACTCTAGAGGGCGTGTTTATCAACCGATTTTGATCGGGTTTTCTGCATCGTATTTCTTGTAACAAAGGACAAATGATAGCAGTTGAAAATTTTCGATTTTCGAAAATTCGTTCATTACTTTTTTTGCCGAAATTAATCGAAAAATACTATTTCGGTTGTTATCGGACGGATTAACTTGAAACTTACGTGGTGTAGACCGCCAGCATAGAGACATAAAAGTACTTATTCAAAATTTTTTTATCACTTCCGGTTTCGATGTTAGTACTTCCGGTGGTATCACTTCCGGTGGAATTGAGTTATGTCAAAAATAACATATGCATTATATTACCAGTCTTAATACAAACTTATTAAACTAAAAAAATCCGCACCGGAAGTAACATGTTGGCCGCCATTTTGGTTTGCCTCATTTTGCAGAAATTGCTATTCAGAGGCCATTTTTCATCTGATTTGCATAACTTTTGTGTCAAACGATACGTTTCAAGTCCGTCTACAATCCTTAGGCAGCATAATTTTGATTTTCGGTTTTGCCTTTTTCGTACGACCGGACGTTTTTTTTCAAAGTTTGAACGCGTATATCTCATGACCTTGACCTTTGATGACCTTCATATTTACTGTGATGATAATATGTGATCTTGTCTATCTGATGACCTTTTGACCTTTGGGGTCAGACAACTCTTTCCGATTTTACAGGGGTCTAAAAATGGACCATTTTGAGTCTTTGCAGTGCTATATCTCCGTCCCTAATAGAGATATGGCGATAATTCTTTCGATTATTAGATAAATCGGCTAATTAGATTAACCTGGCTGTCAACCCCAATATAAATCAAATTTTAAGTAGTTTTAAAGACACCCTCCCTTTTATATTTCTTTAAAATGTTTTGTGTCCATTTAAGCTATATAAATAGGTTCTAGGATGGATTGAACCTTGTTATACTGTAAGTAAAGCTTACAGAAGCACATTAAAGGCATACCCCCACTTAATTTTTATCCAAATTTCACCAAACTTGGTATGTATGTGTATAATCGAAATCTAAATTTGATGGATATATCGAATTTGCGTAGTGCGCATGCGCATTGCCAACTTTCTTATTTATTAACCGATTTTCATCAAACTTGGAATGTATGTGTATAACCCAATTCCAAATTTGATGGAAATATTAATTTTTGTTGTGCGCATGCGCATTACTAACTTTCTTATTTCTTGTCCGAATTTCATCAAAATTGGTACGTATGTGTATAATCCAATTCTAAATTTGATGGAAATATTGAATTTTTGTTGTGCGCATGCGCATTACCAACTTTCTTATTTCTTATCCGAATTCGACCAAACTTGGTATGTATGTGTACAATCCAATGCTAAATTTGATGGAAATATTGAATTTTTGTTGTGCGCATGCGCATTACAAACTTTCTTACTTCTTATCCGAATTTAATCAAACTTGCTATGTGTGTGTATAAACCAATTATAAATTGAATGGAAATAACCAATTTTTGTTGTGTGCATGCGCATTACCAATTTTCTTATTTCTTATCCGGATTTCATGAAACTTGGTCTTTATTAATTGACAAATATTCTTTTATTCCTAGTCAATATACTTTAAACTCCAGGCACTTTTGCATGTTTGCATTTAGAGATGCAGAAAAGTATTTACATCAATGTAATTGCAATAGACTATCTTCGTATGTACCTGAATGTTGTAACACGCCCTGCATCAGTACTGTTATTAGAACAGTTCTAGTTCATAAGTGATTTCAATACATCTAACATTTATCTATATTGATGTCTTGCTTCCTTGTGGATATAATTGAAAATTTGCATGTACTTCCTTCGACCATGCAAATTGTTTTTTAATGAAATGTTGAACACTTTCAGATAAATACCTAGTACCGGTATGCTTTCTGAATCATTTAAATTGATTGAATAATTTCCATATGGTTGGCCTACATTACAATTCTTACAAGTGTATGGAAACTCAGCTCTACTTTCAACCTATTCTGTGCACATGTATTCCATTACTGTCATGGTCACATCACACTTGACAAGAGTCCAACTCTTACAAACTGACTGGTGATTATTCCTACAGTTTCCTAACATGAAACTCACTTAATAGATACACTAACCATTGTCAATTCAATTTCAAGTCTAAAATGACAATTAAAAAATAAAAACTTGATTGCAATTTAATTATCTACAATTTCAAACTTCTGTCTTCCTCTTTATTCTTGGATTGATCATCACATAAGCTACACACTATTATTATTAGACTTAAATAATCAACATATTATATCATAAGCTATACAAATTATCTGATTATAAGTATTAAAAGTTACTGGAGCTATTTTGACTTTTTGACATTACCACAAGCTTACAACTGAAAACTTAAGTTTATTGGACCTAATTCATTGTGAAACTTTCATGACAGATAAGTCTTACATCAACTTAATATCATTATTCATAATATATAGGCCTCAAAACAAACAAAATGTCAATGAATTATGACTCTGTCTAGTAATATCATAGCTCAGTGACGTACATAAATATGTAATAATTATGTTTGTTAACTGATCAAAAAGAAACGATATATATCTACATATGTATAATAATAAGCCTAGATACAGGCCCATAGAAAAATAATAAATAAAACTAGGCTAGGCAAAGATCAAATTTTTTTTTTAAGAAAATGTCACAAATCGATTTGGCTAGAGATTGCTTGCGTCACACAAGCCATTATTTTCATTCTTTATATTGGGGACAATACTCTATTCTAATATTTATATACTTCAATGCTTTAATATCATCTTGGACTTTCCGATTACGAACAGTCTGCTTAGACATTCTGTTTTACTCTCACCTCAATATCTTGTTTGCCGGCAGCCATAGTTCTTTTAGAGGCCGCTTACTTCATATTCCCTTCGGGTCTACATTGTTTTTAGGATAAAATCGTCTTGAATGCATATCAATCTGTGGTCATGTTGAAGTCTTTTAAATGCAATAAAGAATATGCTTTCACATAGGCTATGATCAGGTGTTTTGGTTAAAACTGTTTACAAATTCATTGATATAAGCGACCGTTTCTTTTTTTTACATCTACTTCCCTTCCTTAGGACAATTCTAGTAGTATACAATTCTTACTCGTCAGATAATCTTGTCAATGATACGTTATTGGTTCCCATAAATTTTCGAAATCAATACATGAAACGAATAATTATCCGTAAAAAAAAATCAAACTACGGATAGTCTAAACAAACTCCCGAAAGACCAAAAAACACGCAGTAGCGAGTGGGAAGCCAGCCTATCCTACCTACCTATCTACCCCAACCATATATAACTCATCGACCCCAGTCTTATTTCTAAAAAAATCAAATTATGTTTTGTATTGTTTTTATGCTAGCTAGAACTTGCACATAAAGTCGCAGTCGGCAAAAAAAAAAAAAAAAAAAAAAAAAACAGTGGCGGTGTGCGGCTGCTCAAGCCTCCTGAGACTTAGCAGGGCACATTTTGCAAGCTGGAGGAAGCGTCAGAGAGGGAAATTTTTCAAAAATAGAATGGATTTGGTCAATATTTTTAGAGGCATGAACACTGGGCATATAAGAAATGATGTTTTTAAATTTCTTATAATGAAGTGGGGCTACTGACCGTTTTCTAGCACCGACTAGAAAACGAACGACCAAATAGGTAATATTCAATTTGTAGAAAAGCTTATTACTTACTGTCATCAACCAACACATTTAAAATAGAAAATGATAGGAATATCAGGGAACACAAAGTCTTGTAACGAGAAATATATTATTATATAATGGGATATAACTCTTGTTTGCTTTACAAAACCTTGAGCTTTTTCTTGCACGGGTGTGTCTACAGGCTACTGTACAGTTCTAGACAGTCACCCAAAAACATATAGGGCCTAATATGAAACTCGATAGAAAGTGCGTTGGAGGCATTAAAAACATTTGCCTACAATTGCAAAAATCGTAATCCGCCTCTGGACAATATCGAATGACACACACAGAATGATGTTTGAAGGGTGTAGTAAATAACAGCTATACACATGCACAATCAGTAATAGCTATAGCACCTGAAATTTTGAAAGAAAAACGCGCATTATCGTTGCTTAAGTTGCTCACCGATTATAATGTTAATGTATATGCTCTGCTGTTGGGGTTAAACAGTTAAAATCACTGCGTTACGATTTCTATGTAGCTTAGGAGGGTGTATAGAGAGTATAGCTTACTCATCTAGTCAGCAAGGCCGTAATAATTCTTACGTTTCTTATTCTCCACAAGAGATTATTTACATTATATTCTATAAGCACTTTTTGCTGTTACTTTATTCTTTTCGAAGTGCAGAGACCAATATCATTTGACAATAATTAACATGCTTCCCATCTATTGTTTCTTCAAATATATATATCTTCTGAAGATATCGACATGGACTGTTCTCTATGCTAAGAATGATATCTCGACCAAAACAAGTAACTGTTTGAATAAATCGATTCTTGTCATTTATAAACAACATACCAGCTGGGAAACGGATCAATTTTTTAGTTTGGAATGTTCAATGTAAAATGATTAAACTTTGTCATTCTATGGACTTTTAAACAATCTAGAGGATGGGTGACAGTCATTTGAATTTTTTTTTACTTATTTACTAAAGTCTGAGAATGGCAATAGACACAACAGTGACATAGTTCCAGGCAACTGTGATTGTTCTTTGACCTGTCATTTCTGTTTTTGAAGGATCAGAATGTATTTCCAATTCTAATTTTGCTAAATTGACATGTAAAAATTGTCGTCTTTCAAAGAGTAAGTTAGTTTGTGCCATCTTGATAAAAACATACCACCAATATTAACGGAGTTTAATTCCCAAGATGTTGTCTTTACATTTTCAGATATTTTTGTTGATGTATTTATTTTTAAACTGTAAATTAGTGTAAAGAATGGCAGATACTTCTGAATATATACCAGTGTTGCAAAGAAAAGTTATTATTTCCTAAGTCCTCGCTATTCAAGATTGCTGTACATGTACATGTCTTTTCGTAAGATATTTTCTCACAAAACGCAGTCAGAAGGTTGTCCTTTCTTCGTAACCTATTGTCTGAGGTTAAATTGAGACACAGGTCATTTCATATGAAACTACGATTGGTTCTTGAAAATAAAACATTTGATTGTGGTTGGGTCATTGCTTATCCACCAAAAGAAAGAAAAAAAGTAGGACATTGAAACGAAATAAAAGAGATGTTGGAATAACTAAACATATAAGGAGCAATGTATTTCATTCAACACTGCAATTTAATACTCCTTGTTGATTAATTTGATGTCGAGTTGCGTTGTGCATTTGGTATTCGGATAAAGTAAGAAAAAAAGAGAATAGCCTACATACATGTAAAATCAATATTCAAAGTAGGCTATTATGGGCCTTTACCTACAATGTAACTAGCGATAAGGTATAACAATAATATAAATTACGTTTGTGCTTTTCTGAATTTGAACATAGGGTCATAAGGATGGAAACTGTCACCATATTACCCATGATTTTCTGGTAAGTGTTCTCAGACATTGCAAGGTTTAAACCCAGTAACAATCCCCAACATTACAAATTTAAGAATACCCAAACAATTATCTGAAGAGGGATATCCAAAGAGTCTTGGTGTTTATGTTTACATTTACGTACAGAGCATGAACAAAATAATCAAAAACCACAGTTTAGCAGACGATAACACCACTCGTTAAGAAGATATTCATTATAATATAATGTAGGGTGACAAAGTGATTCTAATTTTAGATTCTATTGATTTGCAACTTCAACATGAGATGAAATGAGAGTTTGAATAAACTATGTGTATTTATATACCTGCTGTTTAAATATACCTGGGTGTAACCACACTATAGCTTTCATCTTTTTAACAAAAATGACATAAATTGCCCTCCTCTTATAGTTTTATTGTGTGACTCGATAGTGGCTATATACGTAAATGTTCTCGTGTAACTTTTTATATTGTGTGTGGGAATTTATCGATCATTGTGATAGATTTTAATCTACCTGTGTATGTAGTTTCGCTGTGTAGACAACGTACACTGGCAGCCGCAGAAGTAAAAACGACAGAACTTATTTATACCGCTCTAATGTTTTACTAAGACGGTGTCATTGGAATTTAAAGCTTAAAAGGTTAGTATTACTCCCATAAATGGCCCACATTCATACATTAGTAAGACACCCTAGGGCTCCAATAAATAATGTATAATAAATATATACTTGTCGAGGCATTTGTTAAGACATTATTTTCTAGAACTTATTTTTTCATAATGAAAATTGTACATAATATTTCATGCCATTTTAATTGAATAATGACTATATTATCTGTCCATTTAATTTGATTCTTGATTCTATTATATCAAACGATATGCATAATAAGTATCTCCACTCATTGGTAAGTATATTATTACCAAATTGTGTATTTTATAGGTCTATAACGATTAATCTATGTTTTATATTTTGACAATCTGGTGTCATATCATTACAAATATACGAACTGGCAGTCTGCCACGTCTAAATATCGACACATTAAGATCTTGAATATAACATCATGATTACTTTAAGACTATCCAATAGCTTTGACAAGTATGATTTCATAATGATATACCGGGAAACTAACGGTGGTAAACTCAAAAAGAGAGCGAGGAAAATATATAATAATACATAATATATAACAGATCAAAACTATTTTAGTTACTTGTTATTGCTATTGAAGAACTGTCAATTGTATTTGATGCCGTAGTGGTAGAAATAGAATGCCGATCTGGTAACAAAGGTGACTGTGTAAAAGTATTCCTGTTATAGGTACTGCAAAACTGAAGCTACATTGATCAACTGACTAAAGTTGAGTTGTATTCTGACATGCTGTCGGTAGAGAAACCGTCCTACTGCTCGGAGGATTGTTTGGTTGGAAGAATGTATGCATTACGCTTCTTGATTGATTTCCCCTTTAGCTTTGTCTCAGCTTTCCCTTTTGAAAGCTCTAATATTTGTGAACACAAGAAAAGGTTGAGTTTATCCAATATGCTGTAGACAATTTAGATCACAAAATCCATACCCTGAATGGTAAAAATACATATATTGCATTGGCACCAAGACCGACCAACCTATCCCCAGGTCGCATCTATATCCACGGTGGATAAATTCCTATGCATTATCGAAAAGAAGAGGGTGGCGGTATGGCGACACTGGTATACCAGAAAGTGGTTAACATAGATAGTACATCATGGTAACGACTTTATTATCACCTTTGAACAAATAATGCGTAAATCACCGAGACTTAGCCCACAAGAAGTGTTTTGAATGATATAGTATTTAGTCTTAAGGGCTTTCGCAAAGAATGAGTAGGGATCATTAGGCACCTCTTGGGTCTTGGAAGTAATCTATGAATATGGTGGTACACATGATGACAGACAAGGCTATTGCAAGAGTGGTGGCATATCCTTGTTGGTGCAGCACTGAACGCTTTGATTTTCTCAGTCATATTGGTGTGCCATTCCCTAACTCCTCTATGGAGCCACATGAAGCTGATAAGACCAATATTACAACGCACCAGATGATGACAGACGAAATCGGACACTCATCTTGTTGCACTCTACAAATAAAGTGATGAAGGTTCACTGTCTGCAGAAAATTCAGATAAGCTGATGCGTTAAGCGTGTTCAAGGAGCTTTCCCAGGCAAAATCTTGAAGTCCGCCATACTACAGAAGATGGTCAAACAGGGCGTTGGCAACAGGGCGATGTACTTTGAAGCTTTTATCAGAATGCATCTGATTCTGTGATAAGTTGACGAGTTGTGGCATGGGAAGGGGAAGACATAAAGCGTCTATTATTGAGTCATATTGATGCCGTTCATAGCTAGTTTTAGATTACAGGAACCTTGTTAATTGTATTGAAATAGTTGAAGCATCCTGGGAAAAATACTTTGGTTAGCTCGAGTCATTTAAAAACCTAAAATATCATAAATGATGGTTATTGGGAAAAATGGCTGCCTTTTTGGTCAGGTTAAGCTATTTAAAATGTGTTTCATTCGATTTCTTCTGGTTCAAGAAATTTTATATATTCAATGACCAAAGTAATTTAGAAGCGAAAATATTGAAGAATATGAAGTTTATGACGGCCAAGTTCAACTTTTCAACTCATTTGCCGTAATTGTTGTTATTTTTGAGTCATTAAACTGTCATAATTTTGGACTGAACTCACACAGAAAATGTTAAGTTTGAATTTTTGACAAATTCAAATTTATCTCAGCTGATCATCTATTAATTAATTGGATATGTATGCATATCTTAACGTTTTGAAAAGAAAAACGGGGAGAAGCATAGTAACATATGATCACCGCTCTTCTCTAATGGTTGGAATATGGTTAATATATTTAAATCATAGCCAACATCATCGTCAGCTGGACTGCTGATTCATTTCAATGGCTTGTGACCCATCAGAACTAGATATGAGTCTTAAACTACGTATGTGTTTAAAAAAAATGAAAAAGCTTTATCTTAGTCTTTTAACATATTCTGAACATTCTTTTCTATAATTCTATGAGGCGTTTTAATTCATTAAAGATGGGTTTCCTTATTTTTTAGTGTCAAAATATTTGAATAAATGATGTTTCTAATAAATTATCATGTATTCTTAATCATATCATTGTGTTCTTATTGCATATAATTATATTAAGAGCTTTTACCAATCATATATGTCCATGTATGTACAGTCTGGATGGGCAAGAAAAAGACTTTTTGACCTTTCTTGATCGGTCACTCATTGGCATTCTGTTGGTAATTCTCGTCTAATTTAGATAATTATGAATTCATTATAGACATGTGAGACAAACTGGTAATTTTCCAAGTCATTAGAACACCTCTTCTTTCTATTTGTATAAGTATTAGCATTTTCATTTTCATAAATGAAAATAAGGGAATTCATCTTTAATTCAGATAGAGCTCTCCCAAAATCGTTTTGAATCGGTACAAGTTGACTTTTCTTGATGTAAACTCGTGCACATCCGACGACGATTTCATTCAAAACATTTACACAAACTGTCCGTGTTTGAGAGTACAAAGAATAATATAAAATATACATATTATAATTAATATCTACAACTTATAACACTTTACATTTATGACTTTTTCTCAGACCTGAAGGATCACTTATAGAATAAATGAGACCATTACCGAATCCTTTAAATTGATAATAACTTAAGTTTGCAAGTGGTTTGTCTTCTTGACTGATCCATAGTCAAACCTCACTGGCATTGATCTTCTCTGGATTATTCATACCCATTTACAGATTGGAAGACAACACCGACCTAGATTAGAAATTAGAACCCACGACCAAAATATGTTTGGACATATTAACCAAACAACCAAGACTATAAAACACTGAGAACCCTTGACCACAGATGATACAAATAGTTATACATATATATTGTTTTTATGGTCCAGACAAGCTGTTACCTACCAACCATTGCAAGATTTGATTTTAAATGAAAAACAGTAATAGAAATGTATCAAAAATCGATGATGGATTTTTATTGGGCGTCATGCCTAGTCTATTTAGTTAGTTAACACAATCTATATTGTGAAAAAGTAACTAGTATACATTTAATAGTGTAACGGAATTACACTTCTCAAATCGAGTAACAAAGTCTTCGGAATATTGATAGATGCGAAATTCACATGGACACAAATGGTGATTACTTCAAATTTTACATCTCTGTACACAAATGGATTTGAAGGCTCAGATTTCTACGCTGAGCTGTGAACATTATTACTGATTAGCATAGCTAAACAATTCGTGTTTCGAAGACTTATACGATAGATTGGTCAAACAGATAGCGAACTTGTACCTTTAAGTGGCGACCCTTGGCAGTTTTCTATCCAGTTGAGACCTTAAAAGGTTTTTTTTTACATTTCAGGGTAATCAATGTACCAGATATGGCTGAAGCTAAATAGAAATTGTTATGGTTGGTGTTTTCTCGGCCGTTTGTCGGCGAATTACAAGAAGACGACCCATTTGCTCTGGCCTAAATGATACAGGCACAGAATACTCTGAAAATAAGGATCAGAATCTAAAAGAATGTCTGTCAACATTAGATCTTGTTTCATTGGGCGTAGGGAGTTGTTGTGGAACTGGGATGTATCTATCTTGTGGTCTGGTAACCATGACAGCAGGGGGACTAGGTGCTATTATAGCCTTTTTAGTGAGTGGAATAGCAGCATTACTTTCAGGCAAGTTAAGATCCCACTTTTGGTGCAAGGGAAAATAATTTTTCTGGCTACGAAATAAGGCATTCAAGCAGATCTTTTAAAAGTTAATTTCAACTGCTGTATCAGATTAATATAACGAGTGTGTTGACACCTGTCGTTACTTTATATAATTGGGTTCATGATAAACAATTCTGATGTCACTGAATGATAATAGTTTAAAACTGTGTAACACAGTAACATACTGTGTTGAAGAGGCACACGCTTTGTTGAAAATAGAATGGTGACTGTATCCTTTCCCTTAATGTATGTGTTAATATTATGAAGTAAATTATGTTTTTTCCCCATAAAATGTCAACAGAGAGTGTAATCAATTTAACATTGTATAATTGAATTTCCAGGAAGTTGTTATGCAGAATTGGCTTCTGTTTGCCCTAATACTTCGGGGTCGGCGTACATTTACAGCTATACAACAGTTGGAGAGCTGATTGCTTTTATTATAGCATGGGGGTTGATAGCAGAATATGTTATTGGAGCAGCATTGGCATCAGTTGTATTGAGTACTACTATAGATTCAATGTTTGATTTTGTTTTAAAAGATTATTTATCTACATGGGGATCAATAGGAGGTAAATGTCCCTTCTTTTAAATCAATTTATCTATCTATACATCGACTGTAAAAATAAGTATCTCTAAAGTCCTTATTTGAAATACTTGTCTCTCAATTATCATATCAAGGCTTTGGTCATGGAGTAAGTTAGCCGTGATAACCCGGCGTTCGGATCAGAAGAAACCCCAGCCCGACAATTGGGACAATGTAGTTTTTCAAGCAAACTACAAGGAGTCCATCAAGACGAAGGACTCCTAAATGGTTCAACTTTGAATAGATACCCAAATAATACGAAATTTGGCTTTTAACAAGGTGAAAATTCTCAAACACAAGCAACCAAAAAGTGTGTCGGAGCAGCTCCCAAAAGTGGAATTTTATTTCTGGCCCTTAACTTGTCGATAATCCAAAGCATATAAGATTAATATTTTTGATTCAATGTCATGCCATTTCTTAAAATGTGAGAGAATCAAAGGCACGAAAGTAACTTTATAACACAAAATCTATTTTGAATTACAGGACGGGAATATTTTGATGTGCTGGCAGTTGTCATATGTGTGATATTGACCATAGTTTTGATTAGCGGCGTCGAGCTTTCTGCTTCCATCAACAACATTCTCAATCTGATTAATTTGTCAGTTCTTATATTTTTTATTGGTATCAGTATCTATTATAGTAAGATTGAAAATTGGACTGCTACTGACCGATCTTCTACTTGGGGAATTAAGGTAGGTCTTCTGATGCCTTAAACCTCACACAATCCTGAAGACCAAAATTCACGAGTAACTTTTTTCACATGTTACTGTTATCTCGAGAGCATATTGTCTCATGGGATAAATTATCTCTATCGTCCGTTTTTTTTCAGGTTCTAGCTGAGATACCGACAGCCTATTTTGCTTTCATTGGCTTTGATGGAATTGCTTCTGCAGGTGGCGAAACTAAGAATCCCAGTAAATCCGTACCCAAATCTGTGATTTTATCCATTACTATATGTACTTTGATATATGTATCAGTATCATTATGTCTAAGCTTAATAGTTCCGGCTAGTCAACTACCAGAAAATACCGCCATGATGGATGTTTTTGTGTTAAAGAACAATTACTACGCAAAATATTTTATATCAATTGGAGCAGTTTGTGGATTATTTGCTGCTGCATTTGGTTCTATGTTTCCGTTACCCAGAATTCTTTGTGCTATGGCTAGAGACGGACTCATATACAGGTAATTTTGAGCTTTTATCCTGTTTGTGAAATGAAAGGTAATCCTTAAATAGTTATTGGATATTGGATAAATAATTGTAGTTTTAACTGGTTTTCGCTTATAGCACATTTTCAAAGAATGGACTCAAGCAGATGTATCTTATTATTCGTACAATAAGACAAGAAAAGAAGCAGAAAGGTTGTGACAGTACATTGTTTAATTAAAATTACGAAATGAATGAGAAAAATTTAAATATGATTTTAAATTTCTGTTATATTTTAGCCATTTTGGAGAAATATGCCAGAAAACCAAAACACCCCGACCTGCAACATTATTAACTGGTATATTATCTATATCGTTAGCTGTTACTATTGATCTAAATTATCTGATAGAATTGGTTTTAATGGGTATGTTTTTTAAATGATTTACGGTAAACTGATATATTTCATACCGGTTTTAGTGATATGTTCTTGATAACTAAAAAATAGTTATTGTCGGTTTTAATTATTGTAAAAGTGTAAACTGATATATTTCATTCGGGTTTTAGTGATATGTTCTTGATAACGAAAATATAGTTATTGTCGGTTTTAAGTATTAAGTGTAAACTGATATATTTCGTACCGGTTTTAATGGGTATGTTCTTGATATGATTAAGCGTAAGCTTATTTTATATATACACCATACATAGTGGATTATCACTGACTATAGTTTTCAATATAATAACTGGAATAGTATCTTATTATAAGTATAATTATTAGGTAAATTGAATCTGTTATAACGTTATCGTTTGCAGATGGCCTATTTGAAGAATATTATTATTTTAAGTGTCATCAATTATTCACCACTGTGGTCATACTATTTCTTTCATGCTATAAAGTCACCACGATGCTACCTTCTAAAGCCATCAGTACATACTTTAAAACAAATCTCTTTCAGGGACACTCCTTGCGTATATTTTGGTAGCTGTTTCTGTTCTAGTATTACGTTATGACAAGTATAGTAGTAGTGGTTATGAACCCCTAGAATCATTAACTGACGTCAATGAAGGTGACGAATTACACTCCAACAACATTGATATTACTGATATCGACGTCGAAAAAATCTTAAAACCAACAGGTTTTAATGAGATCAAACATAAACGATATTACAAAAAGGTCTTTCATCAAATTCAGAGTGTATGTAAAAATTGTTTACCGGAAGTATATAAATTGAAATGTTCAATGTTTATTATGCTAAGTGTTATATTATGCATCCAGGTGACATTGTGTGTTTTTATAGTGCTTTTGATACGCGGAGTTCTGTCTCCAAATGCTGTGATATTAACAATATTAACTTTTCTCTTTGTTGTTTTGTTGACGTTTATGATTATTTTATCAACATTACCACAGACCATGTAAGTTGAGTTTCGATAGTTTATGAAATTGCTTTTAGAACGATTTGTTCTACGATGATTATTAATAGATGACATCAATTTTTTTTGTTCTTGTTGTGACTCTCCAACTGAATCTAAATTACTTATCTGCTTTCTAAATATCTTAAATTATTTACAGATCGCATCAATTTTTTCAATCTTAGTGTGACTTTCCATATTAATCTTAATATAGTTTCTTACTATCTATTTTCGATCCGGATGTGATACATAGACATATTTAAACTGATTTCTAATTATCTTATATTGCTTATGGATTCCATCAAAGTTTTTGATCCGAGAGTGACCGACTGAATCTAAAATTACTTCCGGTTTGTAATAATCTAAAATTGTTTACAGATCACATAAAAGTTTTCGAGTACCAATGGTGCCTGTACTGCCTTTACTGGTTACGTTTATGAATATTTATTTTATATCATCACTATCATTGTATTCGTGGATTATTTTTTCTATTTGGATGTGTATAGGTGAGTGTTTGGGTACATAGAGGATATGGCATTATATTATATTATAGCCTATTCAAATTGATATTTAATATTAACATTTTAATTTTATCCAAGCCTTATCAAGATTATCTTTTTTTGTCAATCCTTTGGTATAAGTGATATACAGTCATAAATGAAGGCCTATACGACCTGGAAAAATCTATTATGAATTATTCAGTAATTTCTAATACTATCAAACTCTATTTCTATGAGAAAAAAATGTCATTGAACACAATCAAATACCATGTGGTGTTCAATCGCATACGGAATTTTGTAGAATCATCATTTTCCAACAAGTGAAAAAGTGCTGACGTGGTTGGGCCCATGCATAGCTTATCAAATGCCAAAAGAGCATGGTAGAGGATGGTAGACCATTTCCTTTATGAAGATGGTACCTCTTCTTACATTCTGAGGAATTTCTTCGTGATAGAGTTGAAATAAATGAATAGAATTAGCATGAAACCTTGAAACCTAACTGTTCACCTTAGCCTTGATATTATGGTTTTTTTTGCAGGGTTTATTATATATTTTACGTTTAGTATACGAGGCGAGGTGTTAAAATCAAAGGATTTCCAGAGTCAGTAATGTGTTTGTCTTCATGGATTCGGGCTGTATTAATTTTTGTGTCAAAAGAGTTGACATCTTTCAACACCTGTTCTGTTGCAAATGACGCTTAAAGTTTAATGCCACGTTTGTTCTCAATAAAATAAAAGTTGGCCAAGTGTAACGACCAGTAATGGAACAGTAGTCAACGGAGTCGAAGCCGAAATAAGCGTATAATGTAGCTCATTTGAATTAAATATCATTATTTAAATGAATTTGTTATTTTGAATTGATTTTTATGCTATGTTCTACATTTCAAAGTGTAAATATTGGAACTTATTCCAAAAAAATATTTACTTTATAAACAATAAATATTACATATAAATAAGTTGTTTGTGAAACAAGATTCTCACTCAATCCCACATTTGTGTCAGCTTTAAATCATGGTATGCTTTCTACTAGTTCCAATTTTACCATTTATTCCATTCATAAATTAACACCAGACTTTTAAAAATCTTTTTTTTTTGTGCACTTCTGTGTTCTATTTAGTTGATTAGGAATTAGTTGTATTGATCGCTTCTAATGACTTGTGTTTCTCTTTTACTTTATTATCTCCCCCTTCGGCTTTCTCTTTTTCTGTCGTTTTCTTTTTTATCTTCTTCTTTAGTTTTTTCAATTACAACTTTGGTTTCATTAATTTTCTGAAATATTCAATATTTTTACATCCCTTAGAAAAACGAAAAGTTATTTTAAGTGAAAATTTCAAATAACTTTTGTGGAAATGTGCCCATATAAATATAAGATAACTTGCGAGGCAAGGTAACGTACGCCCACTGGCAGCTGTCAGAAATGATAAAACAGTCTTTAGTGACCAAAGTACGAATTTTCTCATATTGAAGAAATTTTATTAGTTTGAATTCAATTACATATATATATATATATATATATGCCAGTTATTCATGCTGAATAATTCCACAAAATTTTTAAAAATCAATATCAATAACCCAAATACAACAAATAATTAAATCACACAGCTCTAATCAAGGGCAAAAAAGAACTTTTGACGTGATTTTACAAAGTCAAGGGCAATAACTCAAAAAACGGTCATCAAAAATATGTCAAGTTAGAGCTTGTCCGAGATCTTATCAATTCCAATGATCACACCAAGTTTCCTCAAAATCGGTTGAAAACAGTAGCTTGTGCTCACAAACAAATTTGGAAGCGTTTTACAAAGTCAAGGGCAATAACTCAAAAACCGTCGATCGAAAATGCCTCAAGTTAGAACTTGTCAGATTTGATCAATTCCAATGATCATACCAAGTTTGATCAAAATTAAAAACTGTAGCTTCTCGTTTTTTAACAAAGTCAAGGGCAATATCTCAAAAACCGTTCATCTAAAATATGTCAAATTCGAACTTGACCGAGATCTTATCAATCTAAAGCATCACACCAAGTTTTATCAAAATCAGATGAAAACTGTAGTCTCTATAGTGCTCACAAGAAATGTTGACATATTCATGTGGGCGTATAAAAATGTCACCTATGCGTCTGTTCACAAGTTCTAGTTACCAATCAAGATGGCACCATTCTTGTCACATTTGGACGAATCTTGTAAATTATAAAACATGAGTGAACCCAAACTGTCTACCGTGACAGTGGCGAATCTACAAGGGAGCCATGCAACTCGAAACACGTCAAAAAACGCAAAAAATATACGTGTATATAGGCCGTTTTAAGGGTATTGAGCAATATACTTACTTTTAACACTGCAGTTTTATCGATTACGATGGTGATATTTATGTATAATTTTAAATAAGTTATATCGGTAACATTATAAACAACACTATTCAATCCGTCATACACCATTCTAGCTTTAGTATTCTGCATCATCTGAAATCTTTTTTTAAAAGAAAATAGTTTTAAAGCGATCTTTTAGAATCAGATTTCTTAAATAACATCATACAAATACATGATATATAAATACAATTCAAATACAATGTCAAACGATGTGTAAGGAAAAGAATGAATGTTTTGTAATAATTTTAATCATATTGGTTTTATCGTGGTTATATAGTTAGGATTATAGTAAACTTTCAATAAATCACATTTCTTGGCAACGAACAAATTTCGAATAACACAATTTTCTGATTAATTTCTGGTATCGTGATTCCATGTCCTCTGACTTGTATCAATGATCATCGAAAACCAGGTCGAAAATCCATAGTTTCTACCTCTATCCGTGCCGGGATCAGCCCTTATAGAAGCCCTGGCGTGTGATCACGTTTAATATTTATCAGGAAAAAGGTTTAATATAGGATTGTATGTAGAGAATGATCTATAATTCTTGTTTCGTTCAATTTATTTTTAATTTGGGTTAAAATCCACGCCCGTTTGTTTTTTAGGCAAATGGCATCCCAAAAACACCCAAAAATGTTGTTTGACCATCCCTTAATTTGAGTTTTCACATATATGTACGTAAGGACTTGGTTGCATAAAATGGCCACATTTTAACACTGATTGCCATTCTCTGATCTTTGACAGGTAAGTTTTATCATTAAAAGCTCTGTTGATTTATAAAATATGTTTCTAACATTTTTCTAGTTAAATTTGGAATGTCCACGTGGTCACTGAGTCTCAGGAGAATATGATTATCAATAACTGAAATACCTCTCTGGATTAGTTGGATTAGTTTTATCTCGTTTATGACCAGGTGTTGCATATCTACTATATCTCAATGGATAACGAACAGTCTTTAAACCTTTTGCACGAATTCTGAAAAAAAAAATAATCAAATACATTACATGACTTTGAATCACTTGTACAGCCAAAACAAACTCTAATCTCCCAAATATTGATTTTAACTTTCAACATTACTCGTACAATCAATAATGCTCGGCAATCATTACTAAGTATATCTCATAATTACCCTTACGAGTTCAAAGTTGATGATGTATAGATATGTGGGGTGCTACATAGTACAGGTTAACAATGAATTTTGACTCATATCACAGACACAAGACAATGATATTATGAATTATGAAACAATTTGACCAACCTGTCTCTATGGTTACCATCTTCGCCACCCCAACCAAAAAATGCATTGGAAAATCCATTGGTCATTTCTACATGTGTTTTATTTAAAGCCGAGACACCACCATAATATCCTTCAAAAAGTAATCTATATAGAGACATAAAGAAATAATATATACATTACATCTAGACATTTTAATACAGAACCTGAAACATGTTATTACTTAAAGTTTCAATCTTCAAACAAAATGTATATCAACCTGCGTCCTAACTAGTCTACACTTGGATCGAGACAAGTTTAACATTAAAAAATATATCTTTATCAATATAAATCTCTATTCTTTCTTTTATTCAATTTACATTATTTTTTTCAGACTCGTCAGCAATTAATCCAACGTAGAAGAAAACACTACGCTTTTCAATTGACTTTTTGATTTTTTGGGGAAACTTACTGAAAATGAGACTTCTGTAAAGCCACAGCCATATGTTTGGGTTTATCTTCACATTTATATAAGTTAAAGTCGTGAATGGGATACATATCAACATCGTGAAATATAAAACAGGTATAATTATCTATCTTTAATGACTCTAGCACACCGACGTTCATCAATAATCCACGGTTAAACATTTCTGTACCAGCCTGTTCAAGCACAAAAAGAGAAATAAAAATTATATAATATATAAAATAGCCAAAAATATTCTGTTCTGCTAATTCTTTTTGTGACAAATAATATTCAAAACACGGTGCAATCGCTTTGATTAAGATATTTCTAACCTTTGGTTAGCTAGTTTGAATGTTAGGTAAGAGTGGTTGTAACAACAACATATAATTGAATTTACGAAAGCACAAGCTGAGGTGAAAATTCAGCTACATCAACTTGATTTTTAAAAAGTAATGAAATCAAATTATAAAGTAATACTAATTACAAATGAAATAATTCTAAAATAATAGAATATATATATTAATGTGAATGAAGTTCGTCGTTTCTGTGACCAACATCCTATGAACTGAAGAGAGAGTATTAAATTAAAATGGAGAGGAACCAAATAAAATATACATATATATATAATTACATATACTGATATAAAAGTTCTATTGAACTATGGGTTTAAGTCTACCATGGACTAAAATATCATTAAGATTCTTATTGCGTTTAAAAGCTATAACTAAATCTTTTTGAAATATATCAGGGAATTTTTGTTGGATTTCCCTGTTCAGTTCCTTAAAAATTGGTATGGCTTGGCAGGCTGTGCTACTGAAAAATACAACAAATGGAATAACTTGATAATCCATGTGGACATTAAGACCATTTGCCTGTATTGTTTTCAATTTGTCTATCCAGAAATTTTCTCGAAGAAGTCTGTAGGTTCTTGTTGGGATAGCGCTTTGTTCATGAAGTTTTTCAATAGGTGTAATTCGGCATTATTATAGTGTGATCTGACTGGTTAAAATGTTTAGCCACAGATTTGTCAAGATTATGATTTATATCGAATCTATGGCCATTGAATCGTGTTCTTAATTTGTTTTTTTTGTTTCACCAATATATTGTTTATGACAGACAGTACATGATATTGCAGCTGCCACACAACATGTTTCTGTTTTTGGAAATTTGGCATTATTATAGAGGTATTGGTGAAAAAACAAGGGTAAGGGTTAGCTCACTTGAATGTTACTGTCTGGTTAGCTCACTTGAATGTTATTGTCTGGTTAGCTCAGTTGAAAGTTGCTGTCTGGTAAGATTACTTGAATGTTACTGTTTGGTTAGCTCACTTGAATGTTTCTGTCTGGTTAGCTCACTTGAATGTTACTGTCTGGTTAGCTCACTAGAATGTTACTGTCTGGTTAGCTCACTAGAATGTTATTGTCTAGTAAGCTCACGTGAATGTTATTGTCTGGTAAGCTCACTTGAATGTTACTGCCTGGTTAGCTCACTAGAATGTTACTGTCTGGTTAGCTCACTAGAATGTTACTGTCTGGTTAGCTCACTAGAATGTTTCTGTCTGGTTATCTCACTTGGATGTTAGCCTACTGTCTGGTTAGCCCAATCGAATGGGACTGTCTGATTAGCCCACTTGAATCAGACTATCTGGTTAGCCCACTTGGATTGGACTATGATTCGTTACGGAATTCTTCTATGATACTAGTACCCGTTGCAGGACATGTAGAATTTCAATTTCACAATTCAATCAAATTGACCAATAAGAGGTTTTGAGCTTTAACTGTAGTATTGAAGAAATTTTTTTTTTACCCACCCTCAAACCAAATTACGTCCCCTCATACATTCTAATTGATACTGCCAAAAATAGCCCTCCAAAAAAAAAAAAAACATCGAGTTTTAAATTTCAGACCAGTCTGTTTTAAACATTTTTACATACAGTTATGATCGATATTTTAATTGTATTATTTCACACATTCTGGAACATACCCCTGTTTAGAGATTAGTAAGTGCATGTATTGTTTCATTATAAAAAAACAAATATCACGTACCTGTTCAACAACAAAAATGGTAAAATCCAACTGTTGTCTCTTTAACATGGGTAAAATATTATATAAAAAGTCTAATAAATGTTTCCGCCTGTCTCTGTAAGCTATGACTATTGCAACTTTCTGATCAGCTTTACAGGTGTTTGGTTTAAAACGTCCACCAGGTTTCCATGGTTCATTATGTAATTTCTCAATATCTTTCAGGTTGCCTTTAAAATGGTGAAAGGCAAAATCACCAACTGAAAAATGAGATAATTAAACTGAAACTATTGTTTGATTTATAAAGCGGTGCTTTTAGTGTCGTGCTGGAATGAAAATAAAAATCAATTATAATCCCCTTTCCGAAAATGTAAAATACAGGAAACTCTTACTAAGATATGGTGATGTCTTTGGACAAGGTTGCAAATTGTCTAACTGTATTGTTTCATTTTTTTCAATCAATAATACGGTTGACGATCTATTCTGTAGGTATTCTATAGATGATAAATATTTGTGCACAGTCTTATGGTATATCATATAATACAGCGCCGTGGAGAGTACAAAACATGTCACCATTACATTTATCTGAAAAAAATATTATTAGTCCAATTTCAAATACATTGACAATTAAGCAGGTATATACCTAGTAGAGCAAGTGTTTTCGGGATAGCTTCACCCAACGAATGAAAAATTCGTCGAATACGCTTATGCATTTAGAATATGTTTCCAGTTAGTTTTGTTAGGCTGTGGTCACACATACGTACGTCAAGCGTCTGTTTTTCAATCCGTCAGTTGAATACGTAACTAAATCAAATGGAACCTATTGGATTGCATCCGTGTGGTCACACATAGATGTACGTCGAAAAAAATCGTATACGTCAAACTTTCAGTCCGAAAAAAATGAGAATTGTTACATTTTTTGACGCTCGATAAATCTGACGTATACGTTAAATCCTGAATATTTCAATGTCAAGGAATGGTGATATAAAACTTCACGATGACGATACCGAGAAATTAATTTCTTTGGTGCAACAGAACAGTGCCCTATATGATAAGACTAAAGTTTGGAAAGTCCTTAAGCTCCTTGAAGATGGCTACCCTAGCAGCTAAAATGAAAATAGAAAATTTCAAGATAGATTTTCAGAGAAAAAGGGCGTGCAAACCACCCCCCTACCAAAATGACCTTGTAGGATATACTGTCTGCTTGCATCATATATTTATGATATTTAAATTATTTTCAGCGGACGTGATGTGATATGTTTTTAATATCTTCTTTCAGTGGAGACCTGGAAAAGGCGTCCATTTCATTGACTTGTTGTGTTTGGTATTTACTGAAAGGTGTTTGTGTGAAGAATATGAAATCAATAATTTCTTACGGTTGTCTGGTTATCTAATACGGACTGGCCCACGGAATGTACATATGGAAACGTACGAATGTTTGACCACCCCTTTTCGCGAATCGTACACAGTTTCGCATTCGTTTGACCTATACAATCCTGACGTACGTATTTGTGAAGACGGCTTAACAGCTAAAAATTTTAATGGGTATACGTCAAAATAAAGCTGTGGTGGCACCAGCCCCCCATCCCCACATTGTGGCACAAATAGGGGATAGACTGACTTACTGAGATAACAACTGTCTAGGTTGAGATTCAAAATACGGCAGCTCTGTGGAAGCGCGTGGGAACAGACCTAACGTACTTTGATCTATGTCGATCAAATACCCTATTCAAGTTGACGTATATACCTAGACGTAGACGTTTTTCAGGTGTTCTGGACGACAATCCAGCATACTTTATAAGGTTTTCTTTACTTTAACGCTATAATAGCGCATCCGATATCTATTCTACCATTTCCCCTATAAACGCTTCTAATACGCCATAAAAGAAAGCTTAAGTGAGAAAACACGACACGGCAAATGCTTCTGAATGCGTCAATATGCGTTTGAGATAAGCGATTTACGCACGCACAAAATATTTCGATGACTTCGCCGTACTGTGCTTCAGCATAATTTTTGCTTGTACAAAACTTACCAACTAAAATATTTGCTTGTACAATACTTACCAACGAAATTTTTATATAAAAATTTTTGACGTCCATATTTTCTACAAATATTTTACAAGGATATAAATACAACAAAGGAAGGGTCAGCACAAACTGAATGATTTGAGAAAAATTTTAATCAATGATTCTACTCACAAATCTTGAATTAATCTAAACAAATGAATCGGCTTGAACTGCAAAAAATCAGATCATTCCCTTGGAGATGGGACATGATGTGTGAGGTGGAACTCTTCTATGAATAATCACAAGGTGCTTAGCCAATAACCATATCCAATAAATTGTCATTAGCAAGCTCCGAGTTTCTGACCTGTAATACCTATTTAAGTTTAACTATGTTTCATTTCAAAGCATACATGTTATATTGAAATCCTCTGTTTCGTTCGTCATATTCTTCTATGGTCGCGTGATAGAGCATGATAAAAATGTTTTTTTTTTACCTTAGTGTAATTCGACATCATTTTTTAAATTTTCCCTTGCCTACACAATCCAAATAACTACAATTCTAATCACGTATTAGTTAGATTATAATTATACATTACATATACGTAGCCTAATCGTAAACCTCTCCGTCGATATCGGTTAAGCCCTCAGGTATTGATTATATCGCCTAGCCCTATCTTTACCGAAGTCAAATTTTCAAATTTGACCCAGAGCCATTTGAGAATTATCAAGCGAATTATAACATTCAAAGTGATATGTCTGGTTTAGATACTTCATATCATAATATATAAGTAAGAATAATATAAAACTGAATAACGAAAACACAGGTCATATTAAAGTTATAAAAAATCATTAAAAATATATGCTGATATGCATACAAGGTAGGGGGGCTAAAAGGTCGTTGCTTTCTGTTTTTGTAATGCTAGGTTTCCACTATCACGATTCGTTTTATTTATAGTGGACAACTCAAGCTTCAAAAACGTTGATCTGGATAGATCTTATATAAGGCAAATTCTATTCGCGCTATCTTGCAATCAAACCTATTGAAACAAAATTGTACATTAGTAACTAGGGCCTATGTTTTTTTACCAAACAAATGAGACAGTAACGTTAGAAAAAAAGAATACATTTTAAAAACGAAATGATATATATATAGTGCATGAAAGAATTTAAAACATTTAATGCATATAAGTAATATACACATCCACATTCGGCATCACAAAATGTTTAAGCTTGAGAAAATTATCCCTATGACTGTGTTTATCATCTTATGAACTGATACCTATACCACTATTCAAAAGATAAACGCGAACAGTTCACTTTAGTTTAAGATTTATATTGCTTCAAATATTGTTTTATTCCACCGCAAAATAGAACAAATTGTTCTTAGTATATCTTCCTGGATACGTATAAAATATACCCTTATTTTCCTATTGTTAATTGTTTTTGAGAATATCAAAAGAGTTGACACAGGAAATGTTACTGCATTCTATGAATTACCCCCTCCGACCGTTTGACCTATTCGGTCTACCATGTCTATCTCTCCTCTCCTTCTGTCTATCTCTATGACCTCCATCACGTCTTGGATCTCGATGTCGCCTCACTCTACATTTTACGATATCGTGAGCAATTAAGTCCATTGCTTCTTAATCTTCTATTTCGGCATCAATTCCAATTTCTAGGAGCCCCACTGATTGTTTACCTTGTCCGCCTTGCCCTCGTTTTCTTGCGTTATCTCTATAGCCAACATTGCCACGGGAGCTATCTCGGTCCATTCTGGTCTTGCTATTTGTGTCTATCTTAGTACCCTCGTGACGGCTAATTAGAAGAGTCACGGTCAGAAATACCACCAATATACTGATTCTTAATAGATTCATCTTCAATCGATACAATAAGTAATGCTGTGGGTGAAATGGGTTAACTTATATATCCTCGTCTGTTTGTGTTGGTTCCCGGATTCTACATTACATCAACAAACTTATTACGTTTAATTTATTTGTTATGCCTTCATGACATTGACCTTATTTTTTTTACCAGCATCCGTGAAGCTGCACACTTTGTATGCAATAATGCCTTGACACATTTTATGCTTCAAATTAAGTAAGAGTTTAGAATAATTAAATTAGAGATTCATTCCAACAAGCAATCTTATTGTTCAATACTTCATACTTCATTTTCACTAGTGCATCATTGACTAGTGATATTACTTGAATTGTTAACAAATAATAATTCTTTTTATATCTCCATCTAAATCTTGGTCACCGTGGGAAGGATATTATGCAGTTTGCATGTGACAGTAAAGTATATGTTAAACCATCAAATGATGGTACGAATATTCTACATAATATAGAATAGTCGCATGCATCTTATAGGTCATCTTCATAATAGGCACAGTAATACTTAATATAATCAGTGTAAACGATTATAAGCTTTCTTTGAATAATCTGTAGTGATTTGGAACGTAAAGTAAAATTCTTTGGCACAGTAAAATGTGATTTAAAGATGCTTATACATGGAGATTCTGCAATGCATTCCTGAAGAATAGTCCATTCTAGCAAACAGTTGATGGAATAATTGTTTTTTGCAAAGATAATGGTTCAAGTGGGAATGATTAATGAGTGAAGTAAAATGCAGAATTGCATGAGTACGTACAATATGATAATGAATGATGGTGAATAGACTTTGTTTATTATTACATTAATTATGATGACAACAAGATAATCAAGTATCACCATATCCTGATCATCTTATCATGACTGTTATTAAGCGTTTGCAGGTCTCCTTGTAATACCTGATTTTGTACACTATAGTATATCACTATTTGACGAATGAGCAAATGTTTCAAGTCTTTACTCAATGTTAATAGATGAATAATATTTTAGTAATGTTAAATAAAACTAAGATTCCATATACGTGTCATGCGGATCCGTCATCGTCATGCGTCATGCGTTAAAAATCGAAATGGTTGGTTTAAGAGGGTATGATTCCATATATGCGGAAACAGTATCCGTCAAAAGGTCTCCGTCATGCGTCAAAAAAAAAAAAAAAAAAAAAAAATCGCCGATTAGCGATTTTTGACGCTTCCGGACGTCTTTCCGCGTGGAGATCTGCCAAATGTGACGTATTTTGTGTAAGGGCCATTTATGTCCGCATGACGCATCCTCATGAGGCGTATATGG